CCCAGAATGGTACCCCTTGACCCACAAGTGTTCCAGTTAAGTTTGGTTTCCTTACATTCACCAACTCCTCTGTTGCTGCCAATACATATAATGGTACCGAAAATTTAAAGACTACTGCAACGAATTCAGATCACACTATGCCCAATTATACACTTGATGCATTATCCACTATTATCAAGCTTTGTTCTTGACTGCTGCAGACCATTCGAGTTATATTTTCAGAAGAGGCCAAACACCTGCGAGAGGATAAAAGAGAAGAAAAAAGGGATTGTGAGGCAGGGAGTTAGATGTTGGGTACTAGATTTTTGCTCGTTTGTGGCGCAGTTATTCAAATTAGCATCATTATTTGTCAACCATAGATTAATGCCTATACAATGTGTCCCAGAACAACGTACTATAAATTCTACAGGGTGAACCCAAGACCAAAATTACGAAAATGCACCATTGAGTCGTGAGAAGGCGTTGAAGAATAATTTTTTTCCTGATTTTCTTTTATATTTCAAAATCCTGTGACTCCTCAAAAATTCGTTGGGCACTTCACTATCATGAATGTTCATGAAAAACATGTCATATCTATTTAATCAATATACAGGCAGATGAGACGCATTCTCCTTGATGAAAATTGATTTTTCTTTTGGTTTTCTAGATTTAAAACATAATTAATTTTGGTGCTTCTCCATACTTATTTATGATGTGTCAGGATGATCATGTTTTGCAAGTTTCTACCTTGTTATTGACCACGATAATACAATTTATGAACTACTTCAGCATATGATAAGGTTGTTGGTCATCTTCAAATTCTTTGTTTTCTCGAAATAAGTTCTTTGCGAGAAAGAAAGAATGAAATTAGGAATCGACCAGCTCCCAGATCATATTATGATGAGCTACGAATTTCCAAGCAGTACCTTTCAAGGATTTTGAAATATTCAGGAAAATCTGTAGATGAAATTATTCTTCATCGCCCTTTCACGGGTTTAATCTCTTCCTGAAGATGTTAACACAGTTAGCGAAACACGTGTCGATGTGTAAAAAATCGGTTTGGTTAGTGGTAAAACAGTGTGTAGTGTATTATCGTGCCAAAGATTCCAGTCTTCGATATATTATATAATTTGATTTTTACAATACTGGTACACTTTCATACCCCACTTCGTAATTTTTTCCTAAAAGTCAGGTTAGGATAATTTCGTTGGTGAATTTATATTCAGAGACCTGACCTAAAACATGTAAATCCATACCTCACACGACTCCAACAATGTAAGCATGTCAATTTATTTATTTATTTATTTATTTATTTATTTATTCGAAATTTGGGATACTAACAGGTTGTTACCCATACAAGCATCCACTAATACAATCCGTTACAGAGCTAACATTCATGTCTTAACAAATACAAAAATACAAAAATACACCTAATTACATAGGAGGTATGAAAATGACAATCATATATAAGATACGGGAAAAATAGTAAGCAATTTCATTAATGAATACTAATTAGTAATTAATTACTCATCATCATGATATTAGGAAATGAAAATATTTTTTGTAATTCTTTTAAAGGAACATAAAGATATGGAAAAAATGTTTACATTATTGCAATATTTGTTGAATAAATCACACATTCTGGTCATTGGAGATTTTTTACCTAAATTTGTATTATAATTGGAGCACGCTAATAATTGTCTATTTCTGGTATACCTCTGAGGAACATGGTAGGAAATCATCGACACTAATTTCGGTGGGTCATAACAGTTTGTTAATATTTTGAATATGATGAGTAAATCATTGATAATTCTTCGCTGTTCGAGAAGTTGTATCTTATAGTGGGTGCGAATTTCACTAATACCTGTTATTACATACATATTAGTCATTTTAAAATGAAGGAATCTCACAAATCTATTCTGAAGCATTTCTAAACGTACTTTATATATGTTATAATAGGGGTTCCATATGACACTAGCAAAATTCAATTTGCTGAAAACAAATGAGTAGTAAACTGATTTTATTGCTACCTCATTGTTGAAGTCCCTACACATTCTGCAAAAGAAACCTAAGGTTCTACTGCAGGTGTTGATTACATAGTCTAGATGTGGATTAAAACTCATTTTAGAATCAAAATATACTCCAAGATCTTTGATTTGATCTACTCTATTTATTACAATATCATTTATGGAGTATTGAAATTCAATCGGCGTACTACTTTTGCTGAATGATATACAAGCACATTTTTTAACATTTAGTTTCAATCTGTTGCGATTGCAATAAATTGAAAATTTTGATAGATCTTCTTGAATCTTCGTACAATCCTTAACAGAGGTTACTTTTCCAAAAATTTTCAAGTCATCCGCATATAAAAGTATATTGGATTGTTCAAAGCACCCTATCAAATCGTTAATGAAGACCGAGAACAACAATGGGCCAAGGTGTGAACCCTGTGGAACTCCTGAAGTGACCACAAAGGGTGCTGACCTATATCCATTGAGATTCACGAGTTGGCTTCGATTGTGTAAATAGGATGATAACCATCTCAAAAGGTCTCCCTGCACACCGATTCCAGCAAGCTTCGAGATAAGGATGTTATGATCAACCTTATCAAAAGCCTTACTGAAATCAGTGTACAACGAGTCCACCTGTGCTCGATTGTCTAGTGCATTTGAGATGTATTCTGAATAAATTATCAAGTTTGTTTCAATTGCACGCTTGGAGAAAAAACCGTGTTGGTGGCACCATAACGGCCGCCAATTTTCAAAATTGCGGCTTTTTGAGACACTTCTGGTTCTATGGGAGGTGAGGAGATGTTGACATCAGATTTATTAGGGAAATTTCAAATAGAATCGACATTCGGATCACTTTTGTAGCTTTATTTCGATTTTTTCAAATTACCGTTGAATTAACGCCCGAAAAAATGGGTGCTGCGGGTCAAATCGGTCATCTGGGTTAGTGGGCTTGCTTTCTATACGAAATGCGGTTATTTCTGAATTTCTGGTTTACCGCTATCACTAAAAAATTGACAGCTGATATGATCTCCATCCTAATGAGCGCTATCTGCCTCAAGCTACACGGATCACCTTACAATGAAACAAATTGACTATTCTGTTTCAATAAATAATGTATAAATAAGAGCATAAAGTTCTCCATATTAAGCTACTCAACTTGTATTATTTGAAATATATGTTAAAAGAATATGTTGTCATTTTATTATTAATTTTTAATTTTCAATCAAATACTATTTTTTGGTACCCAAACAATAACACAACAGTTTTCTCCTCAGAGATCTGTACATTATTAAACGCAACCATATACGATACGACTTACGCATCCATTCTTTATTTCTATTGAATAGAGCAAGAATTATATCGTCATTTACCACATGAATTTATTGGCAATGCTATTTTGACAAGCTATATCTTCACAGCTATCGAGTTGATCATCCATTGCTTGATCGATTTCTAAGTCAATGACAGTCATTGCTGTTATGAATTCAGTAGTAATGATATCACGATTAAGTAATACTATGACATGTCATCGTCTTGTCATACTCAAATAAGTGGGTATATTTTCTACCAAAGCACAATTCATTGCACTGCTTGTGAAATATACATGAATTAAAGTGACTTATTTGTTTTCATAGTTTCAATCTTCACTTTCAATCACATCAAAACAATTACTCATAATATCAAATTTTAGATTTTTTCTTAGTTATACAAAGTGATTCTAAAATAGGTGGTCAAACTTTGGGAGCATATAGAGTGGGTGAAATAATTACGAAAAACTGTAACATTTTTTTCTGAAGTGACCCCCAAGAAAGATACAGCCCCTCAAAGGGGGGCCTCGTAGAATGATTTTGTATTGTTATTTCCAACACCTTATGATGAAAATCTAAAATTTTGTTTATCCACTAACTATTCAGTGCCGGTTCGAATGGAGTTAAAATCACCTCAAAATAAAATACAGGGGTGTGCCAAAATAGGGAGGTAGGGGGTAGAAATAACCCCAACTTTTTTGTTCATCGCAATTTCAGTTATTTGACATGAAATTATGAAATCTCAGGGCTATTTACATAGAAAAGGTGCTCTTGTTGCATCTCGATAAAATGAACTATTAGCGAATAAAATTTGTTTTTGATAATATTTTTTATTTTAGTATTTTCAATAGGATCAGACCATAATCACGAAACTCGTCGTCTATTTTTAATTCATGAATTCCGACAACGAATTCAAAATTTCCAACCCCAAAAACCCTTACAAACCAATTTTGAATCGAATCGAACCATAATCACAAATCTGGTCAGCCACATTGGAGCCGCCATATTTTGTTCCATCAAAAAGTCCATAACGCGTTGTCAACTGTCTTCTGCCAGATTCCAAGTTGATCAGACGATTAGAAGTAGGTAAACATTCAGTTGCAAGATTTGAACTAGATAATTAAACTTGAGTGCATACCAAAATTGCAATTTAAATGAAATCTTGGAAAAATGAATTTTATTCGCTAATGGTTCAGTTTATCCAGATTCAACAAGAGCTCCTTTTCTATGTTAATAGCCCTGAGATTTCATAATTTCATGTGAAAAAACTGAAATTGCGATGAACAACACACCCCTGTATTTAATTTTGAGGTGATTTTAACTCCATTCGAACCGGCACTGAATAGTTAGTGGATAAACAAAATTTTAGATTTTCATCATAAGGTGTTGGAGATAATAGTACAAAATTATTCTCCGAGGCCCCCCTTTGAGGGGCTGTATCTTTCTTGGGGGGGGCACCTCATAAGAAAATGTTACCGAGGTTTTCGTTATCATTTTACTCACTCTATATACTCCCAAAGTTTGACCACCTATTTTAGAATCACCTTGAATAAAGCTTGGAGGAAACATTTACAGGTAGTACCTTGCCTAGAGGTGAACTTGTTTCACTAACACAATTAAAATCTACTCTGTACATAAAGCTGGTGATAACCGTTCCATTTTTCAATTTAGATACTAAATCGATTTTGATCTGTTAAAGGAGACTGTACCAAACCTCGCACAATTACCATCACCCTCAACACCACAGGTAAATCATTCATCCACATACCCCTCGCCAGCACCCGTAACTCACGCGCAATTTCTTCCCCCAAAAAGGGAGACGCCAAAACCTCCCCGATGTTCACCAAAACCACCAAAGCCATCATCTGGGGCATGCAGAACCGAGCCATACAGAGCATGCTCGATTTCGATTTCGTGTGCGCTAGGAACGAGCCGAGCGTTGTAGCCATCATCTACCCTTTCACGGGAGATCACAAGCAGAAATTCTACTGGGGCCACAAGGAGATCCTCATTCCCGTCTACAAGCAGATGAAGGACGCAATGGCGAAGCATCCCGACGCTGATGTGCTGGTGAACTTCGCTTCGCTGCGGTCCGCTTATTCGAGCACCGTCGAGACCATGGATTATCCCCAGATCAGGACGATTGCTATCATAGCTGAAGGTAAATTATTGCGAGATATTCTACGGGACAACATGCTAGGCGGGACTCGTCGAAGGAAATGACAAGCTAGGGTATTCGTCATCTAACAGGGTACGGACAGATCATAGCTCATTTCTCTTTTAATCATCTAGTGACTTTGCTGTCACGTCACATTCATAGGCGTTGAAGGAGATCTAACAAAATTTTAATTTCATACTTAATCAATACGACATTCAATTCTGTTTTGGAAGGATAGTGAAATGTGCTGCGTTAGGCTGTATCAATCAGTTGGATAGCTAATTTGAATTTGTCAGCTTTCCATCAAATTCGAATGAACTTGAAACATGGAAAGTGAAGTGACCGAATGGGGAAAATTGGTAAATACATCAGAAAAATCCAAATCCACTCCACAAGTTTTTGAATGCATTTAGTGGAAACAGTTTTGATTAAAACGGAGGCTTAAAAGAAGAGGCAAATGCTCGAACATTTGAAAAATTAAACCTACATTCAGGAAATATCAAGTGTTCGTGAAAAACTGCAAAAATGATTCCCAACATGAATATATACAGCACACATGACATATGAGCACATTAGTTTAAATACCTACATAAAATGTTTCACCATTTCTCGACCATAAGGCTGAAGTCTGAAATCAATATTCATATATTGATAGGTACTGCCTAAGAACAGTCCCATTTGGTAAAACATATTAAACTTTCAGAAAAATTTGCTCACTGCCTCACAAAGATTATGCTGGATAGTCTTAAGATCCGAACCTAAATCGACCTTCACCGAGCTGATAATAGAACGAAATATATTTTATCATGAATTTAGTATATTAGAAAACATATTAAAAATGGGTTCGCTAAAAAAATCCTGGGCAGACTATTATTAATTATTTTTCGAAAAATGATTTTTAATTAAACGTTGCAACATCAGGATAATAAAAAAATTTTGTCCTGACTGAAAGTATAAAACGTATAGAATGTGCAGCCGTTGGGTTGTCTACTATTTACCTGGGCGAACTACTGGGTTGTCAGGTAAACACAGGTATATCGATGCCAGTTACTTTCACTGGATTGGATAATTTAAAAAAATTGATATCATCATAATAAGCGCTGTTTAATTGCGAACACGTTGATATAGGGTTGTCTGCGAAAATTCCGGTCCTATTAGGGGTTTGCGAATTTTAAAGATTTCAATTTCAACGCGCGTGGAAGTGTGTGACAGAGAGATCCGAGGTAAGTATACTGTGTAATAATAAAGGACCCAACATCGCAGTCGCTTGTGATGGGACCCTGAATAGTAGAAAGTATATTTCGTTCTATTATCAGCTCGGTGAAGGTCGATTCAAGTTCGGATCTTCTACTAGGAGTTGAAAAATCGAGAACTCGAAAATTATCATCATCATCATTTGGATATAATATGTAGAGTTGAATGAGAAATTGCATGTTGCATGCGCCAATGTCCTCAATATAACCTAAAAAACAATAAATGTCAAAAATCCAATGTTTATCCACATAAATGAATGAAGATGGAACTATATAACTGTTTCACAAACACTTAAGAGTGAGAGGAGACGAGGGTCTGTCCGTACCCTGTTGAGATGACAAATACGTCAATTCACATCAAGGGAACCTAGGACAAGCTAGCAACATTTTTCTGTGCAGGTCAGGGGTATTTTCTGAGTGTTTCTAGTGTTTGAACGTATTGATTCATAGTGACGTCGAGCGTGCAAGCCTTATTGTGTCGGTACAATCACATAACTTCACTAAAGAAAAAATTAATATGTGAATTTTGTAGATCAATCGTAAGAGCACTGAGGACAGGTAGTCAATGGTATCAATTTCGAAAGATAATCGAATACAGTTTAACAAATACGATATGTTTGAATGAAAACACTATTTATTGAAAAATAAATACAACTAGGAAGGTGCATTCGCTAATATACCGAGTGACACAGGAGATATGTAACAGCCTGTAGTTTTCTTATTTTGAGAGATAAAAATTTCAAATTGAAAAGGGTCCCTTGAACTCTATGACAGTTTTCTACAACCACCTGTTTGATCGGAAGTGACCCAACTTTTTTTTTCAAATGGCACCCTGTATATTTCTGTAGCCTACCTCATTTGTCTTGAAATTCTCTATTCAAATATGTATCACAATTTGATATTCGTTAATTTATTGGCTGTTGAATTGCATTTTATTGAAATACATGAAGTTGGCTGTGGCCCGAAGACCATTACTTAGACGATATTACCAGAATATTTTCCATACCCTAATCGGTCCCAGAAGATTGCCAATAATTTCATTGAGTTTAAAAAAATCATTCGAAAATAACTCAGTTTTTTCCATTTGGCTACTTGTAAAGAAACTATTTGTCTTTCATTTTTGCCATATAGCCACAATATTGATTGATTGATTGTCTTTATTACCCCAAGAAACATTTCTGTTTATGATAGGGATACATAAATACATATAAAAAATATTAATAAAGGGTTAACTATAATGAATTCCACTCAGTGGAAACGAATTAATATTGTTTCTTAAGATTAAAGTTATATTTCATTCCTAAGTAATCAAATCATGCCACATATTTTTCATTCAAATTGTCCTGAGCAAGTTTATTTCAAGATTAATTTTAAACCTTCTTGCATCATGTATATTTTTCAACTCATTCGGTAATGAATTGTATAAAATTATTCCATTGTGAAAAACGGATTGTTTGCCAATGTTTGACTTGAATGTATTTGCTATCAAGTAATTCAATTGTCTAGTCCCATAATTATGGACTGTATTGACTTCATTGAAAGCTAAATTTGATATTTCCAACTTATTCCTGGCAAAATGAATAAAGCAACATATTTTAAGTTTATATAACGAAATCAGGTTCAGAAAATGTCTTGGTTTGTATAAATTTATCGTTGGTTCTAGAAAATGTAGATGAAAAATGTACTTAATTGATTTGTTTTGTAATTTCATTAGTGGTTTCAGAAGTGAAATATTTGTACTCCCCCAAATAGAAATTAAATATTGCAAATTTGAATAAATGAGGCAAAACTAAATACATTTCAAGTATTTTATGGGAATAATATTTCGGATGTTGAATAAAATGACTATGATCGGATTTATTTTATTTATCAAAAATAGTCTATATTATGGTTAGTCCATAATAATTTTTCGTCGATATAGAGACCTAAAAATTTTGTCACGTCTGTATATTTAATTAATCTATTGTTGAAAGTTATAGCATTATTACATGAAACTGAAATTGTTATAATTGATGTATCATCCTAATATCGTGAGTTATTTTCTGATGATTTTTTCAAACTCAATGAAATTATCAGCAATCTTCTGGGACCGATTAGGGTATGGAAAATATTCTGATAATATCGTCTAAGCAATACTTTTTGGATTTCTAAGCCTATCAAGCATCGAAATGGCATTGTACTCGGGCCAGTCAACTTCATGTATTCCAATAATATGCAGTTTAACGGCAAATTAATAAACGAATATCAAATTGTGATATATATACAGGGTGCCGTTTGAAAAAAAAAGTTAAATTTACTTACAATCAAACAGGTGGTTGGAGAAAATTGTCATTGGGTTCAAGGGAAGCGCCATCATCGATAATATGTCCATTGTGAATTTCAAATTTCCATCTCTTCAAATAAAAAAACTACAGGCTGTTACATGTCTCCTGTGTCACCCGGTATACAAAATAGAAAGCAGTCAAACACCTCACATTCTTTCACTTAATATTAGCATTCTGCTTCAGGAAAACTAAGACAGTAACTATTGATAGTATAAAAATCATAAAATCTTCCAAAAAAGATTTATCCTTTCCAGTTCCTGAAGAATAATGTTCGCCAAGTATGCAACAATGCACTATATTATGTTGTCTGCTATATTGAGGCTGAAATAAGTTACCAATCTCGGATTGAGGATAACGTTAACAGTTCTAGCCTATGTTAGTGGATGTCAAAATTTGAGTAATGAAACAGAATAAAACAGGTTCTTGATAGGTGCCATAAAATCACGTTCGAATTTCGAAATTGCCATTGCAAGCGCATGCGTCATAACTTTTGCGTCTGTAAAGGATGGGAATATTTTTCATCCTTAACAATGTTCATGTGTTTCTGTGTTTACTACCAGTCCATAGGAGTGAAGCGAGTTTGAAGCGATCTAGATAGTAGGGTATATTGGTGGTGGTAACGGCCCAGTGAGCACTATTTCCAAAAATGCAATTTGCTATCAGATCCAGGTATCCCCGAAAACTATACGCGGAAGCTTGTCAAACTAGCAGACGAGAAGCGCGTTTCGATAATCGGCCCCGCAACTGTGGGGGCAGCGTCAGGCCGTTCTGATGGACAACATCCTGCACTCGAAGGAACTCAACAAGACAAAAAATATATCTAAGAAGAATACTAATTCTCTGGCAATGATTCCGCTGAGATATCGCCATCATTCGCGATTTCATTCATTAATCCGTGTTTGACGTATAATCTTCAATGATTGATTAATGAATCGCGGTGTATATCTATTGATATCCAGTCTAAGGAATCCAGGGGGATATTTCATTCACACTAGCCAGCATGGTTACACCTGATAATCCCATTTCATTATGTTTTACCGTGATGTAATTGCCGTTTGGGTACACCTCCCGTACCTGCTCTTGGGTTTACCAACTCCATAGTTGGTAAAGGTGGTTAAAGGTAAACTTGATTATTTGTTTACAAAAAATTATGAATGTGAAAAATTGAATATATGGTAACATTCGAATTGAAAATGAATGGAGTAGATGTCTAAGTAACATACACGGGTAAACTGTGGAAGTGGGTAAAGTGAAAGAAATTGGAATTCAAAAATAGTTAATGTTGATGTCATTATGACGTAGTTGCCTCCCACCACCTTCACCTAAATACTCTAACCGGGTTTAACGGGGAATGTGAATGAAATATCCCTCAGGCATCCCCGAGAACTATACGAAGCTCGTAAAACTAGCAGACGAGGAGCGCGTTTCAATAATCGGCTCCGCGACCGTGGATGGTTCAAGATCGGCAACACGGAAGTTATGATGGACAACATCTTGCAATCGATACTTTATCTTTATCTTTCATTAACACGCCCTACACACTTTTTTCCTCTATTCTTCTTAGTTGTTATTTATTCGGTTTCAAAAGGATCACTGTGGATTTTTAGAAAACTCCGTTGTACTGATTCAACTTTCTCCACATACAGTTGATGAGATGGATTCCTAATTAAAAATGCATATTCCAGTTTCGATCTGACAAAATCATAATATGATGTTTTGAATGTGACTGAATCAGAGAAGAGTGGTATTGTTCATATTATGCGAAAATAAAATGAACTAATTTTACAGTGTATATGTCATTATATAACATTTGCTAGCGTTCAAAGGTAATTTGTTACTGCAACAACATTGTTTAACGGGTTTCAGACATGACAATATATTGTTAAATCGTTTGCATACTTCAAACAATTGACATTTTCCTTCCTCGAATAGCGGACTAGATAGATTATGTTGGTAATGGTAATGACTCACTATGCACCATTTCTAACAATGCAATTCGCTATCAATTCCAGGAGTCCCCAAAAACTATACTCGTAAGCTCGTCAAACTACCGGACGAGAAGCGTGTTTCGATAATCGGCTCCGCGACCGTGGGCGGTGTCAAGCCGGCTGCTTCAAGATCGGCAACACGGGCGGCATGATGGACAACATCCTGCACTCGAAGCTTTACAGGCCGGACAGCTTAGCATACGTTTCGAGGTCGGGCGGCATGTCGAACGAGCTGAACATCATGAAAAACATACCATGCAATGATACCGCAGAGTTGTCGCCACCATTCGCGTTTTTGTTCATTCATTCGTGTCTGGTTTTTAGGATTGTTGGCTCACACTTTTCAATTATTTATGAATGAATGGCGGTGTCTGTCTATTGTTATCGACTCTGTGTACAGGCCGGGCAGCGTGGCGTACGTTTTGAGGTCGGGCGTCATGTCCTACCTTGAAAGAATATCAATTTTCTGGCAATGATTCCGCAGAGTTGTAGCCACCACTCGCGATTTTGTTCATTTCTTCGTGTCTGGCTTTTAGGATTGTTGGCTTACACTTTTCAATAATTTATGAATGAATGGCGGTGTCTGTTTATTGTTATCGACTCTGTGGTTTCCAGGCATCCCTGAAAACTACACGAGGAAACAGATCAAAGTAGCGGACGAGAAGCTTGTTTCGATAATCGGCCCCGCGACCGTGGGCGGCGTCAATCCGGGCTGCTTCAAGATCGGCAACACGGGCGGCATGATGGACAATATCCTGCACTCGAAGCTTTACAAGGCGGGCAGCGTAGCATACGTTGCGAGGTCGGGCGGCATGTCGAACGAGTTGACCATCATAAAAACAATACCTTGGAAGAATATCAATTTTCCGGCAATGATTCCGCAGAGCTGTCGACACCATTCGCGACTTTGGGCTATTAGGATTGTTGGCTTACACTTTTCAATAATTTGTGAATGAATGGCGGTGTCTGTCTATTGTTATCGATTCTGTGGTTTCCAGGCATCCCCGAAAACTACACGAGGAAACTGATCAAAGTAGCAGACGAGAAGCGTGTTTCGATAATCGGCCCCGCGACCGTGGGCGGTGTCAAGCCGGGCTGCTTCAAGATCGGCAACACGGGCGGCATGATGGACAACATCCTGCACTCAAAGCTTTACAGGCCGGGCAGCGTGGCATACGTTGCGAGGTCGGGCGGCATGTCGAACGAGTTGACCATCATAAAAACAATACCTTGGAAGAATATCAATTTTCCGGCAATGATTCCGCAGAGCTGTCGACACCATTCGCGACTTTGCTCATTCATCCGTGTCTGGCTATTAGGATTGTTGGCTTACACTTTTCAATAATTTATGAATGAATGGCGGTGTCTGTCTATTGTTATCGACTCTGTGGTTTCCAGGCATCCCTGAAAACTACACGAGGAAACAGATCAAAGTAGCGGACGAGGAGCGTGTTTCGATAATCGGCCCCGCGACCGTGGGCGGCGTCAATCCGGGATGCTTCAATATCGGCAACTCGGGCGGCATGATGGACAATATCCTGCACTCGAAGCTTTACAGGCCGGGCAGCGTAGCATACATTGCGAGGTCGGGCGGCATGTCGAACGAGTTGAACATCATAAAAACTATACCTTGGAAGAATATCAATTTTCCGGCAATTATTCCGCAGAGTTGTCGACACCATTCGCGATTTTGTTCATTCATCCGTGTCTGGCTATTAGGATTGTTGGCTTACACTTTCAATAATTTATGAATGAATGCTGGTGTCGGTCTATTGTTATCGACTCTGTGGTTTCCAGGCATCCCCGAAAACTACACGAGGAAACTGATCAAAGTAGCAGACGAGAAGCGTGTTTCGATAATCGGCCCCGCGACCGTGGGCGGTGTAAAGCCGGGCTGCTTCAAGATCGGCAACACGGGCGGCATGATGGACAACATCCTGCACTCGAAGCTTTACAGGCCGGGCAGCGTGGCGTACGTTTCGAGGTCGGGCGGCATGTCGAACGAGTTGAACAACATCGTGTCGAAGGCGACCGACGGGGTGTACGAGGGTGTGGCTATAGGCGGGGACCGGTATCCGGGAACGACGTTCATGGACCACATCATGAGGTGAGTTTTCTTGAAGAGGAATATTCTCAGATATATTTATGAACACAAAAAATTGGATATATACAGGGTGACATTGAAATAAATACATTAAATTTAAACCCTAAGTAGGCTCAAGGTATACTATCGAATGGCACCATTGAAATAAATATAGGGGTCAAAATATGATTTGGGGCAGCAAGACCCCCTTTTCCGCCCAAAGTTCTACTCATCGAGAGCTAGTCGCTCATGGAAGACATATCGTAGGAAGATAAAAGCGGATAACAAAGCGATGTTGCCAATAGTTCATCATGGTGTGACAGCAAAAAATGGATGTTTGTCAGATCTGAGATTGGTAAATAATGTTTTGAATTGGATCTTCTGACTAATATTCTAGACTAGAAGATTCATTTCTAGAAAACTTGAAAATATGTGACGAATCGATCGAGAAATCGGAATCGATAGTCATTATAGGCATGGCAAGTTAAACGTAACATTTTTGAAAATCACTGGAATAAGAAAAAGGGAATACCAAAATAATACTGGGAGGAATGATAGATAACGCAAACATTTCAAATTTAACTCACCTCACTAGCATTTTATAAAGACAAGCTCTAAAGCTCAACAAAAACAATAAACTCAGGCAGTAGAATTTCCCAAAGTGGGGTAAAAACAAGCCTTCCGTTTATTTTAACACTCCAACACAACACTTATCAGGAGAACCTACCTACTTCATTTAACAGTAGAATTGATATTCGAATTTTGAATACTTCATTATGCACATAAACAAAATATCAAATACCAATAATTCGTTCATTTATTTGACATCTGAGGAGGCACAGAATCACAAAATAGACATTTCGGATAGAACTACAGTTCTGTCTGTTTGCTTGTTAATCTGGAAAAGAAAATTCTTGCTGCTTTACCGAAGTTTCCGCAATATTTTCATAATATAACAGTTATACAATTTCGTATTTTTCCACTGCTGAATAACCAATTTTAATTCATAGACCGACAGCGATGACTGTTTTGTTTCCATGGCATTTCTATTGTGTCCACAGCTATCTAAATGTTATTGGCAACTTTGATGCAATTCCAAATGAGTGAAAAATGGTTTCAGGAAAAATTTGCAAACTATACAGGATGTCCGGAAAGGTAATATTGTAAATGATAGGACTGGTAGAGTGAGCCAAAATAATGTTGGTACTTCACATAAAAAAAAGTATATCGCACTTCGTTTCGGAGATATTGACCTTGAAAGTAAGATTTAAAAAAAGAATTTCATGTATATAACTTTCAAACTATCATTATTTTTGGAAATACTGAAAATGTAAGACGCACTTGAAAATATCTAATTAACAATTATTCTATGGAATGAAAACCATCGATAGTTCACCTACTTTGACTCTAATGAAGTTGAACTTTTGAACTGATCATTTTTTTATGATAAAATTGGACGTTGAATTGGAGTTCAACAAAAATTCTATTTCGAAAAATGATGATGAAAAAAAAAGTCAAATTGGATGCTCCCTGTTGAAAAGTCGTTGAATATACCTATCGAGTATGAATCGATTATACACCATGGTTCAGAAGTGATGAGCTGACCAGATAATGATTTTGCCAAAATCAAGATTAGGTACGTTCTGTATCACAGTTATAAAAGATAGTAGACACACCGATGTACGTATATTTGAATCTGAAACACCCTGTATAGGCAAAAAATATGTTCTGATGGAATAATCTCGAATCGTCTCATTTTCTTCTGGTTTGCTCTTTTCGCATTATTTTCTTCTGAAAAAATACCGTTGTGAACGGAATGTACGAATTCCAGAAGAAAGTATTCCTTCATCGGAAAATATTCAACAAACGGTACCTTTGTGATTTTGGAACCATATAAGGTAATTAAGTTGAATATAAACAGGGAAATATGAGGAGAATTTGAGAAAATCTCTCTCCACTCACCAGCGTGAATAATGTGAGGATTTGATGAAACAACACGAAACACCAGAACAGCACACGATGGCAATAATGTAATCACTGAATTAAATGAGGAACACTGAATTAAATGAGGAACACAAAAACACAATACTTGCACTCATGTTCAAGTGAACACTCCGTTTGGAACGATAAATAATTCCTTTCGAGGATTTTTCAATTGCGATCAAAAAATTCGACCGTTCGTGATGACATTTAATATAAGACTGTCTTGATTCACCACCTGGTCTCGAATGAATGACATAGGTTGAATCATGCTGCTAACCGATTAATTTCCTAACAAATGATTCATCTATGACTAATGACAACCATGATGATGATGATGATGAAATTATACAGAGAGAAGAGATATATGGTATACAAAATATATGATGAAGAATTGAATCCGGATATACTGGCACTATTATTTTCGAAAGTCTACCGATTTGGAAAAATTAAACACAGGCTGAAAATATAATTTTGGCAAAATCTTTATATGGTCTTTATTTTTTGACCACTGTGTATAACTCGAGGCATAACTGCATAATCACATTTGTGTTATCATTAATTTTTGAAATAGTGAAAATGTAACGAGCACCCGAAAGTATCTAAACTATTTGACAAATTATTCTATGCAATGAATATTATCGATAGTTTACCTAATTTGACTCTAATGAAGTTGAAATTTGAGGACTGATAATTTTTTTGCAATAAAATTGAATTTCGAATTACGAGCTCATTGAAAATTCCATTGCAAAAAATAATGATGAAAAAAAAGTAAAATTGGATGCACACTGTTGGGTAGTACGCCAATTCATTCAGTTTTCCTGCCCTTTGCAGATATTAAAACATATCTAACAAAATTTTGATACACAGAGTGTTGTTTTTGAAAAAGTAGAAGTTTTTTTGTTTTCCCTGAAGACGGATCTAGATTCTAAATGCGAGTCCTATTCAATTTTGATGAGTAATATGAGTTGAATATACCTATAGAGTATAAATCGATTTTACTACATGGTCCAAAAGTTATGAGCTGACCAGATAAAGATATTGCCAAAATCAAGATTACGTTCTGTATCACAGTTATAAAAGATTGTAGACATATCGATGTTTGTACATTTGAATCTGAAACACCCTGTATAGCAAAAATATGTTTTCATGAAATAATCACGAATTGTCTTATTTTCTTCTGGTTTGCTCTTTTCGTATCATTTTCTTCTGAAAAAATACCGTTCTGAACGGAAAGTACGAAAATCAGAAGAAAATATATCTTCATCGGAAATTATTTTAAAAAATGTCAAATTGGAAGCGCACTACTAAGAGGTATGCCAATTCATTAGTTTTCCCGCTCTTTGCAAATATCAAAACATATCTACAAAATTCCGATATACAGCGTGTTGTTTTTGAAAAAGAAGAAGTTTTCTGTTTTTCCTGAAGACGGTTCTGGATTCTAAATTTGATTTCTATTTAGTTTTGATGAATAATATAATTTGAATATCGATTATACAGATTTTGCAGAATTCAATATTACGTTCTGTATCGCAGTTATAAAAGATGGTAGACACATCGATAGGGGGTGATTGGAACCACCAAAGTTTCCTATATCTGCAGGTATAGTATGTACATTTGAATCTGGAACACTCTGTATAGGCGAAAGGTATTTTTCCATGAAAATTTCGAATCGTCTTATTTTCTTCTGGTTTGCTCTTTTCGCATTATTATCTTCTGAAAAAATATAGTTCTGAACGGAAAGCACGAAGATCAGAAGAAAGTATTCCTTCATCGGAAAATGTTCAACCAGCGGTACCTTTGTGATTCTCAAACATATAAGGTAATGAAGTTGAAAGTAAAGAGGGAAATATGAGGAAAACTTGAGAGAATTTTTCTCTACTCACCAGGGTGAAAAATGCGAAGCTTTGATGATACAACATTAAGTGAGACGAAACACCGGAACAGCACACGATCGCGATAATATAATCACTGAATTGTATGAGGAACACAAAAACACAATACTTGCACTCATTTCCAAGTGAACACTCCGTTTGGAACGATAAATAATTCCTTTCGCGTATTTTCCAATTGCGATCAGAAAAGTCGACCGTACGTGATGACATCTAATATAAGACTGTCTTAATTCACCACCTGGTCTCGAATGAATGACTAATAGGTTGAATCATGCTGGTAACAGATTAATCTCCGAACAAATGATTTATCTATGACTAATGACGATAATGAAATTATACAGGGGGAACAGATATATAGTATACAAGATATAAGATGAAGAATTGAACACGGATATACTGGCACTATTATTTTCGAAAGTCTAACGGTTTGAAAAAATGAAACACAGGCTAAAAATATAACATTCACGAAAATCTCTAGTGATTTGAAAGAGTTTAACAGTCAGAAGTAGTGAAAAAATCTAACAACTTTCTCGAAGAGTGTAAAATGCACAAGGAGACATACAGGGTGTTTCAGATTTGATTGTACATTTTGGGTTAGACTGCCAGGCTTCTCTACGAAGTTTTTAGAAATAAGGTTGTGCCGAGTTACTACGAATACTACGTCTATCAGAGAATTTTGCGGAGAATTGAGTGGCGTACTCAATTTCTTTAGGGGTTATGATTTTGGAGATACATGTATTTTATTATTTAGTTGAATATAAATATAAATTTTCAATTTTTTCGAATAATTGCTTGAAACTTTATGCGAATCTAAAATTGAAATCTTCTCAACTTTTTCTCATAACTTTTTTCGTTGCCTTACCTTCTAATCCCAGTATAAGCCTCATTATAGCAATTTTTCTCAATTTACTGCTATACTAGAGTGATCACTTGAGGGGTCAAAATGGATTTATAGGTTGTCGGACGTGCATAATAGATCCAAAGACATTTTCCCCATATGTTGACTTTATGGATGACATTATATATTTTACATTGTGAACAACCAGAAATATTATTCCCTTCCGAAGTTTACTTGATGAGGGTATTATTTTCGCTTTCCATACTTGTAGATCAGCCAGAAACAGCAACATTGGAGATCGTAAGTTTTCTGTCATTTTTCTCTTTATTCTCCAATGAATTGAATAACTTCCTGCTACCAACGAAAATTTCCATCCCCATGTTGCTTAATAGATGTCAGATTGGCATCACTATCCGCCAATAGAATGGACGAAAAATTCAGCTATATTAGCAGACATTTGACCAAACGTGTTGATACCGACTGGATTTCGGGTACATTTGTGTTCCCTCTATTTCAGAAATTTTTCTTGTGAAACTGGTGAAACTACGTGAAACCTGGATTTTTTTATCCGGTATAGTCACTAGCAATGCAGTTTCCATATCTTCAATGTCGTCGATTGTCTAGTAACACAGCTCCTTTCTACAGCAAGCTTCAAATATACCAAATATAACAGCTACTTTTATCATAAGAATATAATTATCGTCTGGTGCATTCCTCAAAAACTGCTTGTTATAGTCTTTTGTCAAAATCGTGAACTCTTTGACCTGGTAACCTTCTCCTTTTTGTTTGAAAAAAAATATCGAGTTTATGATGTTTGCTAATATCTTGATTTTTCTCTAATCATAACATAGTATTTTTCATTGAATAATGAGACCAAAACAATGAAGCTTTCCATTCCTCAGATATCTCCTGGAAATATACCAGGAATACATTGTCGCTAGAATTCCCAAAAATACTTTATTCTTCGCATGCAGATGGTTTTCGTGAGCGATTTCATCCTTCTCACAAAATATAATAACACTTTTAGCACTTTCTCCATGACCAGCCATCAATTCTCTCTGAACGAAAGATATTAATTAATTTATGCTTTTACCTTTTTTCTGTTGATGTTGGTTTCTGTTCCGATAGAAGGTGAATCCCTAACACGTTTAATACTCGATGAATCTAAATATGTTGTTCATAAATAATTCTGATATTGTTGTAACTGTATTATTATTAGGTATCGTTTAAAACTTCCTCATACAGACCTTTTTGCTGGAAGTTATATTTTCAATAAATAAATGAATACTTTCAGGTACCAAGCAGATGCAAATGTCAAAATGATAGTACTTCTTGGTGAAGTTGGAGGTACCGAAGAATATGACGTATGTGCAGCCCTCAAAAGTAAACAGATTACAAAACCTATGGTAGCCTGGTGCATAGGTAAGCACATGATGACTACTTAGAGGTTCATTCAAATTCATTTTATTGTTACCTTTTACTGTGAAACCTTTTATTTCAGGTACGTGTGCATCAATGTTCACAGCAGAAGTCCAATTTGGCCATGCTGGATCATGTGCCCAATCCACCGTAGAGACAGCAACTGCCAAAAATGCAGCTTTAAAAGCTGCTGGAGCCTATGTACCTGATTCCTTCGATTACCTAGGTATGAATCCTACTATTCGTCATTACGCGGAATATTCATTTCAGAATTTCATTCCTGATGAAATAATGATTACCACAACATTTTGTATTCAGTCATTTTTCGGAAGAATTTTTTTTTGAAATGTTCTAGTCACATTATTCGTACAATTAAAAACAAAATTATGCAAAGATCAACATTGAGTATTCAGCTTAACTAAAAAATGGATAGTTATAATCACATCAGTTGTTTAAAACGTAATCCACCAGCATCAATACATTTATCACAAGTGGACTTAGTGTACAGTGAAGATTGAATAATTGTTGGAGTGGATTCTGCTAAAGCTGCACAACACTCCACCATTCACCATGCTGCTGCTTTAGAGCATTTCTGTGTTGATATTGACAACATATCCAATTACATGTTACACTTTCTGAATTACATTCAACTTATCTGAATGGCAATCAACAAATCATTTGACGAATACAACGAAAACAGCGTATATATACCAAACCGAGAATAAATAAATAAACAGATAACATAACCTCCATAAATCCTTGATAAAGGAGCATGAAGTAATGGATGCAATAAAATGCTTGAAACCAAAAGCGTCATCCGGCGTAGATGGAATCCCATCATATTTCCTTAAAGGATATGCAGAAGTGCTAGTAAATCCACGTACCACTATCATCAACATTGCGATAAGAACAAATAAATTTCCTAACCTGTTCAAAATAGGGCGAGTTACACCTATATATAAATCTGGAAACCCTAGGGACATTATGAACCATAGACCAGTTACAATCCTTTCTGCGCCTTCCAAAGTTTTTGAGAAAGTAATTTACAACAGGCTCTACAGCCATATGTAGAAAACATAATTTCTCCAGAGCAACATGGATTTGTCAAACATAAGTCAACCACCACTAATTTGATGATTTATAGTCATGACTTAGCACTTGCTATTGACCATGGCATGCAAGTGGATACCATTTACACTGATTTGAGAAAGGCTTTTGATAAAGTGAATCATAAAACATTAGTAAATAAACTTAGAAAACTCTCTATACATGAGAATCTCATATCATTAGTATGGTCATACCTGTCTGATAGATCCCAATTTGTTCAATTCAATAAATAAAAATCAGAAGTATTCACTGCATCATCAGGTGTACCCCAAGGGTCCATACTAGGTCCATTACTCTTTATTTTGTTTGTGAACGATATCGGTGAATATATAATATCAAAATACTTACTTTATGCTGATGACCTGAAGCTATACAGAGTAATCAGGGATGACAGTGACAGACTTTTACTTCAACAAGATCTCAATAGGATTGCCACTTTCTGTGAGCTGAACGACCTGTCATTAAATGAGAACAAATGTAAATATATATCATTAAGCCGTAAGAAAAATCCTATTGAGACAGAATACTGGGTGAATGAAACTAAATTGGAAAAAGTAAAAAAATTCAAGGATCTAGGAGTAGTTTTTGATAAAAAACTTAGCTTTAATACACATATTGCAAAAATTGTAAATGATAGCCTGAGAAATTTAAGTTTTGTTCTAAGGAATTCATACCAGTTTAACTCTAATATCGCAATACTTTTATACAGTGCCTTCGTAAGACCAAAATTAGAATATGCTTCAGTCATTTGGAATCCACATACCGTTGTTCATTCAGAAATGATTGAGAAGGTACAAAAAAAGTTCATGAGGAGTCTTTATTACAGGAAATATCGAGTATCCACTTTGATGATTCCATACAAAACTCAACTATCAGAATTGAATCAGAACACACTACAGCTCCGGAGAAATATCGCGGATGTGCTGTTTGTATCAGACATAGTTAATGATAAGCTAAATGTACCTAATTTACTCTTTGCAATAAAACTACATGTACCTGAAGTAAGATTACGTAAGCGAAATCATATTTTTTATATAGATGTGTCATCCTGCTCACCTTTTGTAAGATGCCAGAAATCTGTAAATGAGCTGCTGGGATACTGACATTTTCATTTCTAGTAGTAGCAGAATAAATGGCACTGTTGCTAATTATTAATTATTATCTATTTAATTGTATATTTTCCACTTTTTAAAATAATTAACGTGACCATGTTAGTGGACTGTGTTGTGAATCTTTCTTTGTTTTTAATTTTTTTAGGTAATTTCGGAAGTAATTTCAAGTGTGTACTGTATGTGATAAAACTGTTATTCTGTAATTGGGCTGAAGCCTGTTGTTTTAGCAGTATAAATAAATGAAATGAAATGATATGATAAAAACGCAACTATCAGTTTGGTGTACGCTGGTTTCAGGCCAATGTGGGCACGGTGCCAGATTCCGTTTAATAATGTCTGCGCGATTCTGTTGAATCCTTGGATGTTGAACAAGTTGAATCTAAGACACCTATGTTCAAATAGCTATATAAGCTCTGATGTATTTGGTCGTTTTGCAGGAGATATCATCCAGAGTCTGTATGAACAACTCGTGAAGCAAGGAACGATAGTACCTGCTCCCGAAGTACCGCCGCCGACTGTGCCCATGGATTACAACTGGGCTCGTGAATTGGGTCTCATCCGTAAACCTGCCAGTTTCATGACTTCCATATGCGATGAACGAGGGCAAGAATTGATTTACGCAGGTAATCATAATTATTATGAAAATAGTTTTACAGTTATTCAAATCAGGAATTGGTTTATCACTGGAAAATATTGGAATCCAAGCGTCATCCTCGAATTTCAACCTGAAACATTTGTTATTATAAATTGTGTTCCTATGTTGCTGATACTGTAGATGTAAGTATAGTCTGTAGGTTAATCGAGGAGGTGGTATATTCATCATTTCAGATTTACGAGAAAAATATTTTTCATTGTTATGTTGATAACGGGAGCAAATTCGTTCTCGAAACATCGAAAGCTAAGTAAAAATTCAATATTTCTTGTATATAAAGTATATTTCTCTTCTAACATATCGCACACCCAGATCAAAACTGTAGCAACTCAAATAAAAATTTTTTTCAGGAAAGTCGAAAAACTTATCATCTTGTTGCTGTATGTGATAGGAGTTTATTTTAATGTTCAATGAATGACCATAGCTTGTTGAAGAAAGTCCGAATTGAAACATTTCATACAAATTGTCTGAACAAGTTGAAAACGGAAATTCTTGAGTAACTACAGTTTTGTTTGTCACATTTGAGTTATTTTTCTTCATTATTCAGACTTAAAACGGTTTTGTTCATTTATTTTGACTTGATTCTTCAATCAACTTTAATAGAGATATTTATAGCTACAAATGCAAAAAAGTTTAGTTAATTAGTGTTGTTGGGTTGAATGGTGGTTTCATTATGATAATGAATATTAAGTATTACATCAGGTACCAAATAGAAATTCAATTTTTTTAAGAAACTTCGTGGAACAGTGAAACAAATAATTATAAATTTGAATCATACGTCAAAGGCACCTACCTATATTGAATAAATAGAACCGTTATCACAATCTCTTTATCAAATTAGAACATAGCAAAGCCGAGGATAAAATCTAAAGTCCAGTAGAAATATCCCCAATCATTGGAAAACTAACAGAAAATAACTAGAAAATACTCGAAGTATAAAATAAATCATCTTCAATAGCACTCATGAAATCAACATGACCAAAATCAGTGTCGGTATTAGAAAAGCTGATGTCGCTGGACGAACTGCTGGATGAACTGCTCAAACTACTGCTGCTTGAAGAAGGAGAGATAGGAGGGAATATCACTTTAGATGGTCCAGGTTCATCAGGAGGAATCACAAAATTTGGATCCGCATCAGAATCATCAAAATCATTTCCGTCACTTTGTATTGGTGAAATATAGTAGATAGATTTTTGCTTTGATATTCCTGCTTCCAAGTCCTCGTTTTGGGATGGTATATTGGGACTGGCATTCTCTTTTTTTTTCTCACCATATTGACTAATAATAGTCCACGCCCATTCATTTTTCTGTAACAGTGGAATATTTTGAATGTGCCTACTATTACCAATCATCAAAAGTGTACCAACTCAAAAATGACCGCTTGTAGTAACTAGCAATAATCTTCCAGAAGTCGTGATAAAAATTCTGACTCAACTCTAAAAATGCAAGATTGTATGTTATATGAAGTGCATTTTCTTGAGGTTTTTCGAGAAATAATGGGGAAGGAATGATGACTCAACAAAAATGATGTATCTATAAATATCGAATGATATTTATCAAAACCGAAGGAAGTCAAGATGAATATAAAATTTTCACTTACCTGAGCAAATAAAACTGTTTCAACCCGAAATTCAGAATGGGATATTCGTCGATTTGGTCGAGATTCGTCACCAATAATGTAGCAACTTCAATAAATACAGAAGAAAATTACGATTTTTCCCACCTAATCATCAAAAAATTGTATTTATAGTATACCTTGAGTTTGTGGAATGTGTGTGTTATGCAGGTGAAACGAAACGACCGCTCTCAGTAAGGACTAAAGAACACAAGTACAATATCAAGAAAAGACATATCGATAAATCGAAGCTAACTGAACATATCCTTACTGAAGATTAACAACATATTGCAGAGTGGAATAATATCAAAATCACAGGAAAGGAAGATAACAACTAAAAAAGATGAACCAAGAATTCCGCTTGCATTTTTCTGAACGGAGACAATAGCATTGCTTCCTGTTCAGTTGATATAGATAGAAAATGGTATTCACTACTGAAAACTGAACATGAAAATGGTAGATTCAAGATCAATTAATGAAAACATCCTGTAACTCATTTGTAGACTAAAATCACTCATTCATATGCCAACAACAGTATAACACTGAGGAGTGTCAAACTATAAACAGAGCACAACTTCCAAAGAAAAATATTTTGCATTTTCATGTTGTCGTTCCAGAAACGTCCAAAGATAAGTAAAAATTCGATATTTTTTCAATACAGGGCTTTTCACGATGAGCGTTAATTAGACGTTTCTGGCGAACCAGATAACGGATCATTTTGAAAATTCAATAAAGGGCATATTCGGACATTCTCTAGCCAACTAAAATATTTTCGACAATGTGGTGTTGCCGCTTCTATTAGAAAGCAGTAGCAACTTTGATTTTTCAAATAGAACACTCTGTATTTTATTGCATTTTTAGATCCTCCCTGAAGGGCTGATTTCATCGATGTATCACACTTGGGGTCTAGCGGAAATGATTACAGAGATATAGGGTGTGAAAAATCGACATTTTTCAACTTTAGGAATTTTTTTTGTCGAAACTATCCATTATTGGTCAAAACGGCTCACATGTCCCTATCTCAACTTTTGATCAACTATCTACTAACATTTAATTGAAACAAATACAGGGTGGTGCAGAATTCAGAATCTTGATCACCCGGTATATGTCCCAATTAAATATCAGTAGATAGTTAATCAAAAGTTGAGATAGGGACATGTGAGCCGTTTTGACCAATGATGAATAGTTTCGACACAAAAAAATCCTAAAGTTGAAAAATGTCGATTTTTCACACCCTATATCTCTGTAATCATTTCCGCTAGACCCCAAGTGTGATACATCGATGAAATCAGCTCTTCAGGGAGGATCTAAAAATGCAATAAAATACAGAGTGTTCTATTTGAAAAATCAAAGTTGCTACTGCTTTCTAATAGAAGCGGCAACACCACATTGTCGAAAATATTTTAGTTGGCTAGAGAATGTCCGAATATGCCCTCTATTGAATTTTCAAAATGATCCGTTGTCTGGTTTGCCAGAAACGTCTAATTAACGCTCATCGTGAAAAGCCCTGTATATCTATATTGCTCAAGTTGAAAGTAATCAATTGTTCAAAATAAAAGTAAAAGGAGAAACGATAGCACCAAAACAGTCATGCAAAAACCTTGGGTTATTATTCGACTCAGACTTGAGGTTCAAAAGTCAAGTGAATATATTAGTTAAAAAATCATATTATAAATTGAAATTACTTTATATGTATAGAGATATTCTCAGCACAAACTTAAAATTAAAACTCTGCGACTCCCTTATTTTGTCAAGGATATCATATGGAGATATTGCATTTTGGCCTACCCTCTTAGATAGAGACAAAACAAGTCTTCAAAAGGTGCAAAATTCTTGTGTAAAATTCAGCTACAATTTGAGAAAATACGATCACTTCAGTTCACAGTTTGCTGAATCTAATTGGTTAAATTTAAATGAACGGTTCATTCTCCATATCTGCTCTTTAATTTACAAAATTGATAAATATAAAATCCCGCAATACTTGCATAATAAATTAATCAGGGGAAGAAATATACACGACAGATCAACCAGAAATAATGATTTATATGTAATACCGAATCATAGAACAGCTCAGTACCAGAGATCATTTACATATATTGCCACAAAAATATTCAATGAGTTACCAAGTTCGATAAAAGATGCTCCAAATATAATCTCCTTTGAGAGACAAGTCAAATCCCACCTAGTTGAGGTGCGCACTCTATTCTGAAGTTGCTAGGTTACATGAGCCTGTGAACCTTAGAAAATATTAGCTGACAGCTAAGTTGAATATCTGCTCTGTATTGCCACGATATTTTGTACGTTGATTTAGTATTTTTAGCCTCTAATTTTAATGCCTAATTTTTTTTGTCTAGTTTAACATTTATGACAGCAATTTGAAATGGTACTTTTCGGGGTTGCATGGAAGAGCGACGATGTTGAATGTCGCCCCATTTAAAATATGTAGTTGTATTAATGATTTAGATGAAAATAAAGACCCATTATTATTATTATTATTTCTTTCCTTCAAACATTTTTTCAAACAAAGTGTCACTGACATGATACTGGGTTTTTCTTTTAGGCTCCCTGATAAAAAAATTTGTACAACGCAGTGACATTTTGGGGCAAATCATCTGATTTGTCCCACTACAAATATATTGAAATAATACGAATATTTTTATTTTATAGAAACGAGGAGAGAAAATCCCAAAGAATCAAGTAAAATGAATGTACTACCTCCTTGATTAACCTACAGACAGTATTCCCTATTATAAACAACTATGTTTCTTGGGGTAATAAAGACAATCAATCAATAACCGCCACCCTCCCGTATCTCCTCTTCCAGGCATGCCCATCTCCGACGTCTTGCAAAAGAACGTCGGCATCGGCGGCGTCATCTCGCTGCTGTGGTTCCAGCGCTGTCTGCCGCCCTACGTGTGCAAGTTCTTCGAGATGTGCCTGATGGTGACCGCCGATCACGGCCCCGCCGTTTCGGGGGCGCACAACACGATCGTGTGCGCACGCGCTGGCAAGGATCTGGTGTCGAGTCTGGTGTCGGGACTGCTGACGATCGGGGACAGATTTGGGGGGGCCTTGGACGGGGCGGCGAAGATGTTCAGCGAGGCCTACGACAAAGGTGGGTGGTGTTCGGTTCACTGTTATGAACCGTTTTCTCTTCAGAGCTATTTTCACTTTTTAAGTTTCATTGAAATCCACGAAATTTTATAACGTCCATTCTCTATTTCTGTTGGATATGTTTGAAGTCATTGCATGTTACGTCTCTTGGAGAAGTGCATCTTAGGACAACAAACACACAAATCAGTCAAACAAACCAACGAACTTGAAATTAGACTAGAAGTAGAAATAACACACTGCAATTACCTATATTAAAACCTCTAAATTCAAATCAAAGTTGTCATTTATCTGAGGTGAAGTTGATCACAACAGCGCAAATCCAAACAACAACAATAATAACAACAAAATCTTCTCTATATCTAATGTAAAAACTTCACAAACGATAAGATTTCCAAAAAATTCTTACGACATGTTTCGCTAACACAGTAGCTTCTTCAGGTGATATACTGGTACGATGAACTAAATTAACCTTGGCTTGCTTATGTATCCTACTTTCCCAACCTGAAAGATTAGTTACCTGTAGACAGGTTCGATAAACCTCCATTTTCGGAAATTAGGCACAATATCTACATCAAAATACGGTGTACCGGATTAACTTGAAAGGGTTGATATCAACTCCAACGCCATTGACAGGCAGACATATTTTGGCTCAGTGAAGAGGCAATATTATAACTCGCCTACTATGTTTTCATTTCGAATTGTAATGGTCGAACAAAGCAAGAACATTTCTGATTGTTATTTACTATACGAATTTTTTGACAATGACATTTTGACTTAACCTTTACCTTCATTTCTTTATGACTCTCTTTGACTCTTTGAAGAGAAAAAAGTCATGTTTTATGATTCATTCATCTCCATTTTGTTTGTCAATCATCACGCATCCATGAAATATGAATACGAAAGCAAGTGCCTATTTGCGTAAATAACAGAGAGAAATGGTCAGGAAAACTTTTTCTGAACGATCCTGCTAATATCGAATGAAAAAATCAGTGGCTGGATTCAGTGAATCTGAAATTTACTTAATAAATACCACATGAGAGTTCGCTGGCAATTTGGTGTTTGATTCCTATAATTTCAGTAAATAAAAATCAATCACCGTTTCTTGGTTAGTTTGGGGAATATTGCCAGATGAACCAGTTGTTCAAAACTTGAGTGCCCATAAAAAAATTCAGCAATCTGAGGGTTATCCTTGAATTTCTTCTTCTTCTTCTTCTTTGGCAGTGGGGACTTTACTGAAGTCCCCTTTGGGTTCAGCCTCAAATGACTATTTATCCAGTTTTTTGCCTTCTTGTAATGAAATGTGGAGGTAAAGCTGCACTTTGGTGCGTCTGGTCTGGAATGAGTTCGTGCACTATAGGTTGAGGTTACTTGCTGTGAGGAATGCAGTCGCGTTATCCGGTTCTTCTTCTCATTTTTGAGAAATATGTCACTTTTGGTCAGCTCATCGGTGAATGACGTCATGTAGAGTTAGGTTTTTAGTGAAGGCCGATTTTTTTGTGCCTGATGGTGACGACCGATCACGGCCCCGCCGTTTCGGGGCGAACAACACGATCGTGTGCGCACGCGCGGTAAGGATCTGGTCTCGAGTCTGGTGTCGGGGCTGCTGACGATCGGGGACAGATTTGGGGGAGGCCTACGATAAAGGTGGGTTGTCCCCGTTTTCTAGTTCTAGTTCACTGTTATAAACCTTAGAGCTATTTTCAGTTTTAAAGTTTCATTGGAATCCACGAAATTTTATAACGTCCATTCTCTATTTCTGTTGGATATGTTCGAAGTCATCGCATGTTACGCCTCGTATAGAAGTGCATATTAGGACACCAAACACGAACACACGAATCAATCAAACGAACCAGCAAACTTGAAATTAGACTCGAAGTAGAAAGAATATACTTACATATATTGAAACCTCAAAATTCAAATCAAAGTTGTTATTTATCTGAGGTGACATTATTCACAACAGCTCAAACTTGAACAACAACAATAACAACAACAAAATCTTCTCTATATCTGGTTAAGTACCGTTTCAGTAAACCAGCGCCATTGACAGGCAGACATATTTTGACTCAGTGAACAGACAAAATTATACCTCGCCTACTAGGTTTTCATTTCAAAGCAAGAACATTTTTGATTGTTATTTACTATATGAATATTTCAACAATGACATTTTGACTTAGCCTATACCTTCGCCTATTTGCAAAAATAACAGAGAGAAATCGGCATGAGAACTTTTTCTGAACGTTCCTGCTAATATTGAATGAAATAATCTGTGGTTGGACTAAGTGAATCTGAAATTTACTTAATAAATACCACATTAGAGTTCACAGGCAATTTGGTGTTTGATTCCTATAATTTCAGTAAACAAAAATCAATCACCGTTTCTCCGTTAATTTGGGGAAGATTGCCTGATGAACCAGTTTTTCAAAACTTGAGTGTCCAAAAAAATTCAATAATCTGAGGGTTATCCTTGAATTTGTATCTTCGCATTATCCGGTTCTTCTTCTTCCTTTCGGTTTAGATGGCCTCTATGAATGGCTTACAGTTTTTCTTCCTATCATTTTCGAGAAATATGTCACTCTTGGTCAGCTCATCGGTGAATGACGTCATCAAGATTTAGTTTTTTCGCGAAGGTCGTTTTTTTGATCAACCACAGGCCAGCGTAGCCTCATGGTTAGAGCATCAATGTTCTATCCACGTTGGATTACCGGTAGTGGGTTCGATTCCCACCAAGACCGCAGAATTTTTTCTGATGGCCTAAGAAAGTGTTTGGGATCACACGTTAAAAGGTAAGACCCCCGTCATTCCTTGCTCGCACAAGTCTCTTGAAGACTTCTGAGGGTTGCTCGTGAGGGGGCAGCCGAAGGATGGATAAGAACAATTTCAGAACAATTTCAACATACCAACAAACTTAAAATTAGACAAGTAGTAAAAAAATATACTCCACTCACATATATTGAAACTTCAAAATTCGAATTCAATCGAATCAAAATTGTCCTTTATCTGAGGTGACGTAAGAGCGCAAACACAAACATCAACAAAGTTTTCTCTATCTCCGATTAAGTACAAACAGTTTCAGTCGAGTTTCAGTAAACCAGCGCGATCAATTTCACCAGATCCGGTATTGTTGGTAGTTTCGTGATTATTTAAAGGAATTTTCAGGATTCATTTATGGTAGGAATATTGTTATATTTATTATCGGTAGGATAAAAATGATGGGTCATGGAAACCATCCATTCTCAAAGTGGTCCAGTATTTTTCAACAGGAGAAAAAATGAACTCAAAGTCGGTCGACCACAATATTTAATATAAAAATAATCAGTGTGTGACTATAGTTTCGGCTCTACGGCCATCTTCAGACACAATGAAAAAGTACCTAGAAAGTTTTAAGTAGAAGTAGTACTGATGTAAAACAAAATGGTAGCTGAGAAAGAGTTGACGTACCTGTTATGTAAAACATATCTTAACAATAAAAAATATATATAATTATCAGGTCGTTATAAGCAATGATCAATCCAGCCTCACATTCAACAAAATTTGTAACGGCTGAAAAGCCAAAAGAACATTACTATAAGTAAGTTCAGCATCAGGAAAAATGGAAAAATTTAATTTGGAAATCTACTCAATTGAGCTTCATCTGACTGCAATCAAACCATCTAAAGGAAAGACACAGAAACGTAAAAATTGAAAGTGGTAATTTGACATTGACATGACGATATTGACAATTTCAATCACAGAATAAAACATTTTTGAATGACAATCAATCATATGAAAAATGGGTCTCGACACCCAAAAGACAATGCAAAAAACATTTGGGTTGTTGACAGACACGCGGAACGGTAATAAGAACTGCTAATAAATGAAGAAGGAGATAAACTGTTCATGCTAAAAATGCATTTTCATTTTATGCATTACTTGCTTCCGCACAGCTCGCTCGCAATATGATGCGGTCAAGTTAAGGGCACTCGACTCGGGCTCAAGAGGTTAGGTTGATGTTGGTGTGAAGAATTCAAGTAGTTGGTCTAAAATTCTTCCATACAATTGTCGATCTAAATGGAAACCTAGTTAGGTAGTTAGTAGGCGAGAGCATAATATTGTCTGTTCTTTGAAAAAATAAATGAAGGCGTTCAGTAGTACAGAGACATCAATGTGAACCAAGTAAACTAAGTTATTCCTTTTTTATTCCTAACCCAAACATTTTTTATGGTCCTGTCAAGTTTGTAAATAAAAATCTGTCATGTTGAAACCCAAAAATGAAACATTATCATGAAAGATATTATCAAGTATGAAAACCATCTACCTATACTTGAATGGAAGCAGGAAGATGTTTAGGCAATGCTGTACTAGGTTGACTTATGATGCAACTTGAATTCAAGTTGGAACTGTGGAAACTTCGGAAACTCATCAGTGCTTTCACACTTTTTCGACATGCAAGCCAAGCAGAAAGGTAGGGGCTGCTTATTTCCTTCTATATTTTTGATAAGTCGCTATATAATTCATGAAATTCCGTTATTTGCAGTGAAAACATGTCTTTAGTTATGTAAACTATGTACACATCGGATTCACTATACTTGAAAATTTCAGGCACCTACCTACAGCGAAGAGTACCTACATGAATAGCTTTTCAGTTGAAAAACGAAAAACTATGAGTGATACAAACAGATTGATGTGGAAGAATCGCATGAGGAATTATTATGTGAGTAATGTTTAGAAGAAATGTACCAGAAGGATGATGATGTTTGAGAACAGAATGGAAAATTTCCCATCTGAAATGAATATATAGAAGCAATAAGGTTAGACTCAATCTGTTTATTTCATCAATGTTTTATGGATATTCTGCTCCAAACTCAAAATATCAAGATGCTGGGATATTTAGAATTTTTTTTATTGGAAAATAACTTTTATATGTAGGAATGACAATACAATTATATTTTTTTAATAAATTGAATATAATTATGAAGAATTATTGCAATTTTTATTCTACTAATTTGTTCTCCTCTGATACCCTGTTTATTGTTGTACAGATTTATTGACAGGTAAGTTTGAAAACATTATATATTGTACCAAAGGTAAGTATTTAGGTTAAATATATGTTTTGCTGAACAATGATTATTTTTTATAAAATCATCTTATTGAAGCCACTAACTTCACTAAATATGAGAAGATGTGTCTATAATTGCCACAAATTAAACCATAGGAATATTCAATACCAATATGTATAACTTTTTAATTTATATTGTCAAAATTTTGAATAAACATTATTATTATTTATTATCATTCTATAATATCTGTTCAAATGCCCGTTTCCTCCTAAGATGCGTCCTCATCTTCAGGTCGTGTTCCTTAAGGAAGGAGTTTCTCTTCAGCATCATATTCCAAACTACATTGATGAGTCTGAAACTATAAAAATATTTGATATCTATTTTGTCCCCAGTTTCAATGTTCTTATCTGTACCATTCTGAAATGAATTCAATGACAATTGACTGGAACAATTTTTAGAGGTACCAAAGTCAAGTTCTTGGTAATTTTTATACTGAAACTTATAGTTCTAGTCAACTAGAAACTAATAAGCTGATTGCTACAAAAAGTTTGTATAGGTAGGAACTTGTTAAATATCATTTTATTTATATATACCTTCCTTAAACAAACTTGGAACCGAACCCTCCTTCCAAAACCGTTTCCAATTCTTCATTGGCAAGAAACAGTTCCCTTAAAATGTTGGAAACATACAGTATCATGTTCGCTAACTTCAAAAACTCCCATTCCTGAAATATCAATGCATCAAGTTTCAAATATTATACGATTTAAGAAAAAAATTTCACCTTGCAATCCAATGAATATGGCATAAACTCATTGATGCCTCAGGATTTGAGGCTCAAATTCACAACAGTGGGGATAGGAGAAACCAGGTCTTGATAATTTTACACCTCCACCTCCTGGAGTGCGAAGTTTTCAGATAACATTGCAAAATAACACAATCGCACTCACAAACCAATCAACAAACTGCAATAGAAAACTAATACTAGAAGAAACAATTAGGAATAATTGTAATTTTCAAGAATACGAATTCAAAGTTCAACATATTCACAAGGACGAAATTATAAGTTAATGACAACTGTCAGAAAATAATTTTTTGATTATGACATCTCAATCTCATGAAAGAATCTTCTTCATCGCCTTTGTATCGAATATCACGTCAATGATGGAAAGCACATCTGTGGTTGATTAACATATTGGAAAAAAATAGAAGAAGACAATATCAACCTAATATGGTCTATTTTGACATAAACAAATGAACTTTTTCCATTTTCAGGATGCCAGCGCCACTTGACAGGCAGACAGATTTTGATTCAAAGAACAGACAATATTGTACCTCCTCGCGTACTAGGTCGCCTACTAGGTTTTCATTTAGATCGACAATGTCCATACAAATTGAAATTCAGTGTCTATGACGATTTTGGCAGATGTTAAGTGTTCGGTGCTACTTATCCCTGAATATAAATATATTATGACATCCATGTCAATGACAGCTTGCTGCATAGTAATTTTGTTTTATATTTGGATCAAACTACCAATGAGGAAGCGAAATACAAAATCGAAAACACAGCATATTTAGGTATCTAGCAGCTAATCTACACCCTAAACACAAAAATGAAAACATCATGTTTTCGACTATCAACACAGATATTTCAACCAATCAAAAATGCGTATTTCGAAATGAGTGGAATAATCAGCAAAACGAGTTAATTGTTTTTTTCTTCTACCAGGTATGCACCCAGCCGAATTCGTGAACGCGATGCGAAACAAAGGCCAACTCATAATGGGCATCGGCCACCGGGTGAAGTCCATCAACAACCCGGACCAGCGCGTGAAGATCGTCAAGGAGTTCGTCATGGCCAACTTCCCGGCGACTCCTCTGCTCCTCTACGCGCTCGAAGTCGAAAAGATCACCACCAGCAAGAAACCTAACCTCATTCTCAACGTGGACGGCGTGATAGCGTGCGCGTTCGTCGACATGCTGAGGAATTGCGGCAGTTTCACCAGCGAAGAGTCGCAGGTAAGATGTTTATGATTGGGCAGGAAGAAAATCTTACAGTCAACTCCATCAAAACTATACTTCATTTAAATTGGAAATTGGGACATGTTTCGAAGCTTCAAAGCTTCATCATCAGCAATATTGTTACAGGAAGTACTACAATGAGAAAGACAAAAACCACGTCAGGCAAAGTATTCAAATAATGAAAGTAAAAGAATCCTTACCTGTTCTGGGAAAAATTCACATGTTGAAAACAAAAAAATTATGGTTTACATATTATTACAAATTAAAACATGAAACTTTTAACAAAACAGAGACCGCAACATTCCTAATTATCAATAAAAAATCAATTGTCCCAAAATGTTCCCTCATGTGTTGTGGCTTATTGCTTATAATACATGTGTCTGAATAATAATCATTATATTAATTCACACTAGAGGACATTTGAACCGGTAAACGTGACCACACGGCGCACGAATTGTGGACGATGCCTTGTCAGTTCTCAGCATTCAGCGCATTGTTGCCAAGTCTTCAACATTCACATGTAATTTTGCTATAGAGTATAAGAAATATTTGGACAAACTGGTTGCTCGAAAAAGTCAAGATTGAATTATAATATCATGGTCATCAAAACGTGGGGGTCTTTCATCCGATGACAGATGGCCTGAACGATGGAAACTTTCTTGGACAATTTCAAAATGCGTTTCGACTCTTATGAATTTCAGCTACTTTCAAGAATGTGTTTCCCTTCCTTCGGGACCTAAAGAGTCCCGTTAATAATTCTCAGATTTTCTGCGAGTGAAAGCGCAGTCATCCAAAATTCAAAGGATTCATTGTGATCAATAATAACTTGGACATAAAAATTCTTGAAAGATTCAGGGTCTGTTCGCTGTGCCCTCAATAACTACAAATACTACAGTATTGTACATCAAAGTAGATTGTGGAGCACTAATTATCCGTTCGGTGTTATATGGTGTATACTTACACTGTGGTCATTGTCAAAGTATTGTAGCACAAGAATTGGAGATAATTTACAGATGAAATTAAGTTTTACACTTGATCTGGAGGAGGAGTGAGCAGTGTAGTACAGATAGTGATAAACAACAATCTCTGTTTTATCTATCATTGACAACGAATTAAAAAGTGTGTGTTCAAATTTCAAATGGAAATATTATAAATTATTATGAATGAGTGGTTTATTAAGCAGGTATTGTACTTCTATCATGGACTTGATGTTGCTGCAATTTGTGAAGATTATATAAATCCCAACTATGTCCAACAGAGAATTCCGCGCAGAATCCAGTGGCGTAATCTTTTTATTTCAACAGTTTTTACATTCTCGATGAGTTGAAAGATACAGTTGGGATCTCAAAATGCAACATTTTCAATTTCGCCCTATATCTCAAAAATAAAGAATGCTATGAAACATTATTTGTGATATCGTGAGTCTCACAAAAAGTGGACAACGTTCGCGGAAACTGCAAATCTCTATTTTCGTAAATAAGTGAGATATCCCATGAGGACATCGAAAATGGGACAGCCTGTACATTTGGTTTGAAACTCGCCTCGTCATTTTCACAAAGTAGGCGGTATCGAGAGATTTCTTAACTCCTTTCAATAGGAGGTGATTACACAATTTGAATTTTTCTACGGCTATAACACAAAATTGCTCTTGTTTTACTGTGTTCGATACGGCTGAAGGCTGAAGATATCCAATGTCATTCCTCTTCACAAAAAAGGTGATTCAAATACTGTGGATGATTATAGGGCTATTACTTTATGCTCAAGCATAGGCAAAATTTTTGAAGCTGTCGTCAACAAAAATATCATTAACTTTTTAACATTCAATGGTAACTTGTCTCTATGCCAACATGGTTTCACGAAGAATAGAAACACTGACACTGCACTTTGTGAATTTTTAAATAATATATATAAAGCTCTCGATGATAAACAAGTGGCACTGGGGTTATTTATAGATTTTTCCAAGGCATTTGACTGTGTTCGGCATGATATTCTTCTGTATAAATTGGAGAGATATGGAATTCGTGGAGTTACTCTCCAATGGTTCGCATCATATCTGACTGATAGACAACAGCAGGTTAAATTTAATAACTATATTTCTGATTTGAAATCTGTGAATATAGGTGTGCCTCAAGGATCCATTCTTGGTCCAATTTATTATATATATCAACGATTTAATTGAATCAATGAGATCACACTCTACTCAAGTAGTAGCTTATGCTGATTATACAAACTTTCTGTTCAGACACTGTTTATAATGCTAAAAAACAGGCCGAACTAGTTTACATGAATGTTTGCAAGTGGGTTGATGTGAACAAGCTTTGTCTGAATAATGATAAATCGACCTGTGTTATTTTCAAATCTTCTGGTTCAGAATATCCTAACCACATAACTCTAAATAATACAGAAATCAACTGCGCTCTAAATACTAAATTGCTTGGTGTTATTTTAGAAAGTAACCTGGAGTGGTATGGACATGTAGATAGTTTGTGTTCGAAGCTAGCTAGGATATGCTATGCCCTTTTCATTTCATCACAACAATGTAGTAGAGAAATAATTAAACAATTGTATTTCGGATGCTTCCACTCAAATTTAAAATATGGAATCATGCATTGGGCGAATTCCGCAGAAGCTCATAGAGCAAGAGATTCATGCAGGGAATATTTAAAAAAACTGGGTATTTTCACAATGATTTCCCTTTACATTTATGAAGTGACCTGTTTTGTATTTAATCATAAACGTTATTTTGAGACTGAAAAAGTCGAACATAATTACAATACAAGGAACAAAGATTATCTGTTGCCTCCTCAACACTCATCTGCTCGGTATCAGAAAAGTTTATATTACAATGGATGTAAATTATACAATTACCTGCCAAAATCTATACAAGAATCAAAAAATAAATTCCAATTCGAGAATAAAATGAAAAACTTGCTCCTGAAAAAATCTTATTACACCTTGGATGAATTCTTCTGTGATCCAATCATCGCTGACTGATGAATAATGTTTTTAGAGTAGACGTTCATATACTTTTTATGTTTATGTACCTGTGAAATCTTGTATATTATTATGTTTGTTTTATACCTACGATATTTATTTATTTATGTACTTTAGCCTAATTTTGACGTTTTTTTCTTAAACTGTATGTTTTTGAAACGAATAAATCTATCTATCTATCTATCTATCTATCTATCTATCTATCTACGTCAATGAGGTACTTTGTATGTCATCAATATTATTTCCGTATCGTATATCACAATGACTCTATTGTTCTATTATTTCAAAAAAAAACCATCGCTCATGGAATGTCAAATGTGAAGCAATGACAGCTCTTTCTATAGATGAGCATAACTTGACAGGAAATCAGATGGCTACAAGACGAAGAAATCGAAAATGCCGCTGTTATCTATTATAGCCGTAGAAAAATTATAGTGTATAACTTGCAAGGAATGCTAATTTCCTACTCGAATGATTGTAGCATTCGCCTATGGCTCATGCTGCAAACTTCATTCTCGTAGGAAATCACTATCATTCCGTGCTCGTTAAACAATATACTATTTTGTCGCAGGAGTACATCAACATCGGCGCGATCAACTCGCTCTTCGTCCTGGGCAGGTCGATAGGGTTCATCGGCCACTACATGGACCAGAAGAGGCTCAAGCAGGGCTTGTACAGGCATCCGTGGGACGACATTTCCTACGTGCTGCCTGAGCAGTACAACAACGATAATTAGATGCATTTATTCGACTAGGTTCGCGGCGAACTACTAGGCCAAAACTACACTGAATCGACTATGAGGGATCTCGTGCAGGGTGTTTCAATGGGGAACAGAAAAACGTTCGTCTTTGTAGCCGACATAGAGGTTTTGACGTTGCTAATTTCCAAGGAACTGCCCAGCATTATTCTTTCAATATTTGGTACACATGTTCTTCCACTATACAAGGTGTTTTTGAAATAAGTGCACATATTCAGTACATTAATATGATACAGTCTAGGGAATATTCCCATGATATCAGATTTTTTCTAATTCTTCTAATTTACGAGAAATTTCATCAGAAAAATTCAACAAAATACGAGAAAAAATCAAGTACGCCACTTTAAAACAATTCAAATGATTGAACTCCGCGTGATTGTGCCTACCGCATGGAAATCTGAACAGAGGCGACGTCAGATTTGCTACAGTGTAGAACTTTGGGTGGGAAAAGGGGTCTAACCTCAAATTTTATTTTGATCCCTAAATGTTTTTTATTAGTGCCATTCGATAGTACACGTCGAGCTTTCTCAGTGTTTGAAATATTTGCACTTATTTCAATGCCACCCTGTATAGATACGATTAACGTACTAGTCCATACGGTCATGCAGGCGGTTCAAAGAAGAGAATCATGTATTACTATGTACTGTTTGTTGAAGTCTTGTGACGTGATAGTATGGAAATCTTTTGGACACCTACCCTTAAAGTGATAACAACCGACTCCTGACCGATGGGAAAATAGGGACTAATACAATGAAACCTAAAGAACTCTTACTGGGCGCGGTTTCCAAGTTTGTCTATACTCTCAAATTCGCTAGATACCCGTTCACTATGCGAAGGAGTCAATTCCAACCCGGCTCGGCTCCTTAAAAATGTGTGATTTTGTAATCCTGGTAGCATCCGATGCCCTGGAAATGGTCCAGTTCCACTATGAGCTGTTGGTCCCGCTCTTCCCAACCCCGCACAAGTTTTGACTTCTAGGGAATTGGTTGCCAACTTGAAAGTAGCGATATAAAAATAAAAACAATACAAGCCCCATGTCTACCTGATCTGGTGAAATTGGTACCACAAGGAGCCATAAAACCAAGAAACAATAGTAGAAGAGAAGATCAGGCTCCTCTCGTTATTCGAAAAAAACACATGCTTCTCCACTGATGAGAGGTTTCGTCGATATTGAAGACACTCATGAACTGTTGTACTGAAAATTATCCGGTATTATGTTGACAGCAACATAGTTTTCCTCATATCCAAGCCATTCAAAGGGAAGTCAACGAAGGGATTCAGTGAGAATTGATTCAAATAAAGGACTAGAATGTTGGGGAACTTGTGAATTTGTAATATTTTGTATGTATGTACAGGGTGGTCCAAATTGAACACTTAAATGGAATGTCCTATTTTTGAACTATATAGACATCAACTGATGACGTTATCTGAAGATTAACTTTCAGGGAGGGTTTTTTTTTGGCAAATGTATTTTCTCAAACTGTAACTTTTGTTTATCATTTTTTTGTTATGAGAAGGTCCCTGAACCATCTCTCAACTTACGTCAATGGTCTAAGTACCAATAGTTTTTTTTGTCAAATATTGCACAATTTGAAAGTGCTTGACTTATCAATCAAAAATTTCAGCTCACTTGTTGTTCGTTTTTTTATTGTAAATATGAGTGAATTACTGCTGTGAATCGTTTCATTTCAATTTGACAGCTACCTCTGAATATTTGTCAAAGGAAAATTCAAAATATAATATAACTTGTTTCATCTTGACGCTGCTAGCTCCCTAATCGGACAAAAAAGATTCACTCATTCAGCCTTAACTGAATTCAATAAACTACCTGATAATATAAAAAATTGCAGAAATATAGGTATATTCAAAAATGAAGTAAAAAAACTGATTATTTCTGAGCGGACTGGATAAAATTAATCATGCCATTTTTTTTTTTTACAAATATTATTCTTCGTTTGCCAATTTACAGTTGTTGATATATTTTGCCTGATATATTTTTGAAATGGTAATGTCAAGTTCTGTCAACAAGATACATAAAAGAAGAAGAAGAAGAGAAAGAACCAGGATAAGAAGAAGATAATACAGGGCAATATAATATTTCGATTTCACGACGGCAATCTAATGAATTGGATCTTGGTTTTTTTCTCTGACTAGTACGACGTGAGTCGCTTGGGTACTTACAGAAAAAAGTACAAAATACCGAAGGAGTAAACAAGGCGGTTCGTTTGTTATGAGCCTATAAAGAATTAGTATAATAAATATCACCCTCTACCTTTGTCGGTTATGAAGAGTAAGACCTAATGAATATGGTATGGATTCCCAATGGAACACGCTGTTTTATAAACTTCATTCGCATTTTATGACTAGCACAAAATTATTTTTGAACTCTAGGTTCTATAGTCATTGGGATAAATGTGAATGGGACAAAAAGTATAATAGCTGTCGTTTCTGGTTTATTTTATTGTTTTTTCTTATCATAAAGGGGTGCTAATTTATTATCTGTTTGAGAATAAAACCTTCCATAATTTATTTCATTTGGAATTGATATTTATATTTTTATATTTATATTATGTTTGGTAGGTTCGTTAGTACGAGATGTCGGCCATAGTTTCAGAACATTTTCGAAATTTTAAAATGATTGTTTGCAGTAGCAATAATAGGTTTTATAGTTGTTCAATGTATTATTTGAATTAAAGTTATGTAAACACATTTTCACTCTTTTTTTTTTCATTATCCTCCTGGCTTTGAAATGAATACATGAATACATCCAAATTTCATACTCAAAACCCCTTTTCTACCATAGGCGTAGAACTTGATTTTTTAAATAATTGAACCTTTAAAAATTCTACGCCAATGGCAGAAAAGGGGTTTGAGTATGAAATTTGGATTGAGTACTCATTTACTACAAAAAAGTACCCTTGATAGCACTCGATTTTTACTCTCATGGTTTTGACAAAGTTTGTATTTTACTAATTATTGTTTATGTTCTAAAATTACTAAAATGCAAATTTCGTCAAAACCATGAGAGCAATCGAGTCTTATCAAGAGTACCTTTTTTAGAGTAAATGAGTTGCGCAATCTAAATTTCATACTCAAACTCCTTTTCTTCCATTGGCGTAGAATTTTTAATGGTGCAATTATTTAAAAAATCAAGTTCTACGCCTATGTATTATTATCGGACAACATTTTAACACCATTTTTTTCGCCACACAAAACTCTATCAATATACCAAATTTCAGCAAAATCGCATATGCTGTTTTAAATTTATATGGAAAAAACGATTTGAAAATTGTAACTTCAATTATCAGACCTCTACTCTAAATCAACAAGTTATGATAGGTATATCGTATGATCAAATATCAAATATAATTGAAGCCTTGTAGTAGTAGTATTCAGTTTATTTCAGTGCAATAGGTTTGATGAGTCTGATGTTTTACCTCAAAAAGAGGAAACTGAGTATAAGAAACAACCGAGCAAAATATTGAATAATGAAGTTTTAATCATCTTTAGTGGTATAAGCACGGTAATCGTGGGGTAATCTGTGGTATAAGCACTCGTTTTGAACACATCTGATTGACCTGCTAGCAAATTCGAATTTACCACCATATCAGCCTGAATCGTGATTGGTCATGGACGGATGTTTGGGCAAAATGAATTCTTGCATTAGTGCCTAGCAATGTTGCCAATCAGCTTATTTTATGGTTAGCTCTGGCGATTTTGTAACCCGTCTTGCTACTCAGAAACAAACCCCTCATTTTTCATAATTCCGACTTAGACCAAGATACTGGGTCGAAATCGAATAATTTCGAGATACTATGCTGAGTCGGAATTATGAAAAATAATTGTGGAGGCCCTTCAACGCTTTCATACTATCCTGATATTTCATCTAGCCTAGCTAATAATTGAATATGACTTATGAACTTCTATACCACATCTCACCTCTATAGCTCCCTGATGATTTTTAAAAATTTTGAAGCGCATAAAAGGGAATCCCTAATATGTTCATGGAAAATATATCGCACGTAGACAGCATGACTCATATTTGAAAGCGGGTCACCGTCATACATTTTTTATCTCTGGAGCGATCATTTTCACTGAGATGTTTAGAGGAATTATAAACATCTCAATTTTCACCATTTCATTTTTGGAATGTAGAGGGAGGAAAGGTGTGTATTTCGGAGGTAAGCGGCGTCCATGCACTTTTTTAAAAAACCAATGCCTACGACTAGATCACATTCAGGAGCTCAAAAATCCGGAATCCATATAAGCGATTGAAAATTAAAAAATATTCAATATTAACGATTCTACAGTGAGCCTCATTTCAAACGGGCTCCCCTCTATATCCAGCTATTAGTCGTGCGATTCGTACGTACTTTCAGACTAATAATGTATAACCATCAATATGATCAGTCTTTCAAAGACGAACATCATTTAGGACAGTGCCATGCTTTTTATTGTAAGTAATAAAATAAAGGGATCGATTTTTATGAAATCATATATAAGTAATTTTTTTGCAAGAGAACTATAACGTCATATTATTGTTCCTCATGCTTTCTAACCTCCATATAAAAAAAATCACCCCATTCCAAATAATCAACAGGAATGGCTTCATTTTTTCATTTTCAGCGTTGGATATAAAGTTAATTCAAATTAACTGCGAATTTTGGGAAGTTCAATAGCTCCCTCCGGTAGGTAGGAAATCGTGATTTGAAAGAAAAAACAAAATATACTATTTTATGTTATTCTCACCGTTTCTGGGAACATAATAATGAGGTTCGCTTTTCAGATGCGCCTTTTTTCAAAACCCTCCATTGGCGAATCATATAAAAATTCACATATCATATGGGGGTTTATTGAAACCATGAAGAACAAGATTTTATATGGTCAGTTTTCCTATAAAAAATTACTACTATGATTTCATAAAAAACGACCATTTTGATAGAAACGCACAGATCTGTCCAAAAGGATGTTTGTCTTTGAAAAATTGATCAAATTGATAGTTATTCATACTGGTATTACTGGTCCAAATTTGGTACGAATCGCACGACTAATAGCTGGGATATAGAGGGTGGGCCGTTTTGAAATGAGACACACGCTGTAGATAATCGTTATTAATGATTAATATTTTTCCATTAAACTTGGTACAGATCCATTTCAGAGGACATCGATTCCAGTGGTGTGCGCGGGTTTTTTCTAAAAAAATCGCAATAATATATGGATTCTGGATTTTTTCACCCTCCGAATGTGATCTAGTAGGCCTAGGTTTTTTAAAAAAGTGGACGCCGCTTATTAGCTCCGAAATACACCTTTCCTCCCTCTAGATTTCAAAACAAAATTCGTGGAAATCGCTCCATATATAAATACAAAATTTATGAGAATGCATGGCATATATGGTACCTTTGGGGGATAATATATAGATTGGTAACATATGCAAAAAATTTTCGTCTTTCTAGATACATACAGTCGAGTTTTGGTATAGAGATGTCGATCGTTTTTGATAATAACTAATAAAACATTAACATATTATGCTTATATAATGGTTCACGGATGTAGGGGGTGATATTTCAAATATCGAGAAAATCCTTTATGAATATTCTGAGAATATTCAGAATAATCGTCTCAGAATATATATATATATGATATTGATGTTCATATCAATATTTATAATGTTCACCCTGACACAACCTATTATTCTCTAGCCTCAATGCCGATATTGCTGATTATCCCACTCATTTTATTCATCAATAATAAGGTTCGTGGCGAAGTGGATATAAGGTTATTTCAGCTTAAGATAAAGGATCATTTATAATTATGTCATTCACCCAGTTCACAGGTTTCTCAACAATGAAATTTTGTTCTCCAAGTTCCATTTTCCTGTTTTCAAAATCATGAGTATATTGCTATAAGTATAATTGATTAACTAAAAGTGGCTTGGAATTTTTATTGAAATGGCCAGATCCAGGCCAGATTTGCGCACATATCGTGTTGGCAAGCTGGCAACACTGCTAAAGACAGAGAGAACGCAGAGAGATAAATTGAAGGTACGTCAAATTGACGTCAAATCGTCAAAATATCAAATCGAATAGGTCGCGTGCAAGAACTGTCAGATGACCGACCCTGGAGGCAAAACATATTTGTTTACAAGTGATCGAAATAGTTTTCCACAATTATTTTGGCATATGAATCGTATTTTTCCGCTATTCATCAATTCGCTAATGCCTCACATTGTGCTGTTGTAGAATGCACAAAAACTGCAGCAAAAGATGAAGAAATCCGGATGGTACATTATGATTCAAAAGTAAGTACCTACTATAGTCACTCACATAGTTTTCATTTTTGAAATTTGGTTATTTCTCTGATTTCTCATCGGAATTCCTTCTGCAATAGGATCAGCTAATAGAAATATACCTGAAATTTCTAGAATAATGCAAGAAGATTGGATTCATGCAATCAATCGGTAGGACTGGTCTGACATGCTGACGATCGTGTGTGTTGTAGACATTTTCAATCTATTAGCAGCATTAGCTTGAATTGCAGAAGTGGCAGAAGGCAGAAGGAATTTTAATAAGGAATGACAACATTTCATAATGCTAACTATGTGAGATTACTATTTACCTGAAAAATCATATTCCCTAGTCTCTTGCTGCATTTTTTGTGCATTGTACAACAGCACAATGCGAAGGCATGCTTGAATTAATGAATAACGCAAGAAACACGATTCGTATGCCAAAATATTGTGAAAAACTATTTCAACCTTTTGATTCCTCTGTAACCAAATGAAAAAGTGAGGTTGTGTTTCAATAATTCACAGAAGAATGAGGTTGTGTTTCAATAATTCACAGAAGAATGAGGTTGTGTTTCGATATTTTGCCTCCAGGGTCGGTCTTCGTGCACGCGACCTATGTTTACTTTGTATGGATAGGTTATGAATAATAAAATTTCAATAAAATGGAAAATGCAAGTATTGTGAATAAATTAAGTGAATCTATAGGCACAACAGAACCTGCTTTGAAGCTATTGTTCACAATTTTTGCAGGTATGATTACTTTCATTTATAATGAGTATGCATTGGTAAATGGCCCAAATTCCAAAGATTCCGAGCCAAAGTTCAAATAAAAATAAAATCTGCATAGTTAAGTAGGTACTCGTACCTTTATTTAAAAAAGCTTATACAACATCCCATGTCTACTATATTAGAATTAAGTAAAAAAAAAACTGATTATTTCTGAGCAAACTGGATAAAATTAATCATGCCATTTCACTATGTTTTTTTCTACAAATATTATTCTTTGTTTGCCAATTCACAGTTGTTGATATTTTTTGAATGATGAAATGTTTACCTATAGGTATATACTTAATAATGTACTTCCTTATACCAGAGCCTATTCTGCCTGGAAGTTATTTGTTCAATAAATAAATAAATAAATAAATAAATAAAAAAAAGAAAATTTTGAATTTAACATTTTGCACAGCAATGCCTAGGGTTTATTAATTTCCGAAAAACTATTAGTGAACTAAATTATTTTTAAATCATTTCAAAATATTCAAGGTAGGTAATACCTAACACATCATTAATCACTACCATCAATAGTAAAAGCACCTCCAGGAGCACAAATGGATATTACCAATTTTCACAGATGATTTGAAGTTACTTTTAATGTTTTCATGGGACACATAAGAAGGAACTGAAGGAAGGCATGAATAGATATTTTTTCAATATCCATAGTCCATATCTCTGTCCATATCAATGGATCTATGTATTTTATTATGAATAAAGGTGAAGAACATCATTTGATTGAGAACAAGGATTTTTTTATGAGATTACAAAATCATTCAAAGAACATCCTTTTGGTGTGTATTATCATTTAGTTTTCTCTTTGAATGTTGAAAAATCAAAAGTTGAGTTCCAGTTTAAGATGTCCTGTTTTATCTGATATCTCATCAAAAAGTTCACTCAAGTCCTGAACTTATATAAAAATGTACCAGAATCATTCAAGAAGTTCAGATCCTCTAAATTTAAATAAACTGTCAAAGTGTCAAACATCATATAATAATCAACTGAAACACAGTTTTGAAATTTGGTAGATTGATTTCAGCCAAGGGATCTAATGCAGAATATAATATTATGTAAACACCATGATATATGGAATTACAAACAACAATTTTAGAACAAAAAATCCATCTTATGTTCTACTTTTAACATTTTTTCTCTTTAATATTTTGTAAAACAAGATATTTTTATAACTATGGACATGTTATGAACTAGTTCTGAACTATATGAACTGTGTAAGGAAAGTCATTTTCAAAGACACCAATACATTCTATTCTATTCTATCATAATCCTATCACAAACACATATTTTGTTTTTGGAGAAAATTATACCTATTTTATCAGAAGTTTTGACTGCAGCTGAATATTTACTGTAATCTCTTCTTTATAGGTTATCCATTGGCTCTCATCCATAGAAAGTATGTTTATGGGAAAGAAGCTAGCCTACAGCATTTGTTTTTCATATTATCCGGTTTTTCTCTAGGGTATTGGAATTATGGAAGGGATATGTATCATTGTGTATTCACAACATTCTTCACTTATTGCACATTGTTACTGCTCAATGGAACAGCATCTGCTGTTGCTGTTACATTTATTTTCAATCTAGGATATTTACTGACAGGTGAGATTCAAATCCTACTGACATTATCTTTGATCTTGAAATTCAAGTCCATGTGTCAATCACAAATATTCAATAATAAATCACATTTTAGTAGTAGTACATGTTTCTAGCCTATTCCAGCTCATCAGCATTTGTGTCATCAGCTGAATGTGTCATACAAATGTGCAGGAGAATACACATACATTATACAGTAGTCATGATTATTATAAAATCAAAAACCCACCTGAGAAGGGTGAGGCTTTTTGTGTTATCATGTTGTCAGCAACTACTGGCAAAGTAGTAAATCCAGTATCTGTCAAATGTAATTCTCCTTCATCAATGTCATTCATGTTAAAAAATATTTGTTTTTGTTCTGATTTAAAGTTATCAACAATTCACTAGTAGTTGAACTAATAATCACATGGAATCATTTTTTAAAGTGACATCAATTTTATTCACCTTTGACATCTTTGTGCTGTCTAACAGAAAATGAATAATTTATTTATTTATATTTATAATATATATAATAGTTGAATAACAGTTTTTATTTTCAGTAACAATACAGTAAATAACTATTCTAACATTGTTAATTAACTAATCTAGTAGATAACAACCCAGGTAGCACAGTGATAACACAATGACGTCCTGATTTGGAGATATAATTATTATTATATATATAATTATTTATTTTCGTACAGTAATTTTTCAACAATATAAACATGTATCACGATTTTTTTATAAGAATGTGCGTGTGCTGCGTTTAATAATTAGTAACTGATTTTCTCTATTCTACTTTTATCAACTGAATTTACAATAATGATAAATAACGGTCACAATAGAGGTTGAGAAATAGTAATAATGGAATTATGAAATCTAATGCAATACATAACAGTACTATCATAAAAGACCTAATCAGTAAGAAATTTCATTATCTAGCAACCAGAAAATTATTTTTTTTCGTTATACTTGTAAGGACGATTTTTAAATTGTGAGGGTATGATATTGAATATTTTTGGCGCAATATAATGAAGTGATCTTTGTATTGATGTAAAGGATGTGTTAGAAAATGTGACGTATTTCAGACTTATAGCTCATTATTAGGTATTACCCTACATTTTTGAGGTATAACTAACAAAGATCAATCCTAGATATTTAGTTTTAGATACTAATGAGATTTTGTGAGTGCAATTGCAATTAGCAAAGTCCTGGCTGTTAGTGGTGTGAATCTTTATTGTGTTATTAACATGAAGTTAGACTTGTCCACATTAAGCGTCAGTAAGTTAGTATCAAGCCATGTTTTAACTCAACTTTACTCATTGCTACTTCAGCTTTTTTATATACAAGATCCCAAGTGGTATCATGAAGCATAGTAACTGTGTCATCTGCGTAACAGGCCACATCTCTTCCACATTCCAATTGGATTAGGTTATTTATATAGATGGTGAATAAGACTGGACCTAGCACTGTGCCCTGTGGCACACCGTATTCTACTAGGCAACACTCACTTATGGAATCTCCAACTTTGACCTGCTGAGATCTCTGATTGAGATAGGATTTAAACAAGTCCAAGGCAATACCTCTAATACCCAAATTGTACAGGGTGATTCACCATAAATGTCCCCCATCTAGCCCACTTATTTTTGAACCGATTTAAAAATTTGAAACATCATATAAAATGATTTTTCAGAAATTTTTTTCCCGTTGCATCAGAAAAAACCGGGTGCTCGTAACAAACGATCTACAGAGTACTACTTGATTTTTTCGAATGGAACACCCTGTATTTCATTGTATTCTAAGATTCTCCCTGAAGAGCTGATTTCATCAATCTATCACACTTGTGGTCTAGCGGGAATGATTACAGAGATATAGGGTGTTCAAAATCGAGGTTTTTCAACTGAAGGGTTTTTTGTGTCGAAACTATTCATTATTGGTCAAAACGGCTCTAATGTCTCTATCTGAACTTTTGATTTACTATCTACTGACATTTGATTGGAACATATAAAGTGTGGTTCAAGATTCAGAATTCTGATCACCCTGTATCTGTTCCAATTATCAAAAAATGTCAGTAGATAGTAAATGAAAAGTTGAGATACGGACATGAAAGCCGTTTTGACCGATAATAAATAGTTTCGTCACAAAAAAAACTTAATGTTGAAAATTTTCGATTTTGAACACTCTATCACAATCATTTTCGCTAGACCCCAAGTGTGATGCATTGATGAAATCAGCTCTTCAGGGAGAATCTAAATATGAAATGAAAAATAGGGTGTTCCATATTAAAAAATCAAATAGTACCCCGTAGATCGTTTGTTCCGAGCACTATGTATTTTCTGATGTAGCGGAAAAAAACTCTGAGCTAGAGGGGGAGGGGACATTCATGGTGAATCACCCTGTACATACTGTCTAGTAAATGTCAATGATGATAAAATGGTCACTTTAAATGGGAGGGGACATTCATGGTGAATCACCCTGTACATACTGTCTAGTAAATGTCAATGATGATAAAATGGCCACTTTTAATGGCATGAGGACAAGTACATAGAATAACTGAAGTAGCAATATAACATTGTACATTCAATGTAATATTACATTGTACACTCGAGGGTTGGTTAAATTATGGCAATTTTATGTCTAACAAAATGCCGTTCTGAAACTCGAAAAGTTCCAAATACTTCCAACGATTTAAAAAAAAAAACGAATATTCTTTCATTTTAAATTTTGTATCACTATTTGAATATATGTAACAAAACAAATTACACATTCTCATTTCTACTTTTTCTGCTCTACAGGATGTTGTCATCAGATTTTCAAACCGACGTTTCGTCTTTAAGCAGCCATCATCATCTTTATTTTTCACAATATGGCCCTAAATTTTTTGTTATGGATTTTGAGAGCTTTTGATCTTCCAAAATCAACGGTGTATCGCACTTACAGCCTGATTTTGTAGTGTATAAATTTTTCAAACAAAGCTCCAGATGTAGATTCTCCAAAATCGATAGAAACTCTTATTTGAAGAATAATAATTCTTATAAATATTGGTCGCAAGAAGCTTTGTTTCCAATATACAGGATGTTGAAATTGAAAATAAATTAACACAATTATTTTTATAAACATCTTGTATGAGTTGAAAATATCATCAATTGTGTTTATCCAATAATAGGACTTACAGGAGCAGTTCTCTTGAATGAATTATTCGACACCTACACCAAAATTGGAATTTTAACAAGAGGGCATTTTCCGTTAAAACCTGTTTTTGTAACAAAAAACATTGATATTGCCCTAACGCTGAAAAATTGTAGGAATGTAAATGTTTACAGAAACTTGTGTGTCGTATTTTTGTTTCGCGATTTTCTAGTAATTGATCGTCCTGTTTAGAGCTAGTTTTCAATTGGCCTTTTGTTTTTTTTTGTGTTTTCAACTTCCAATGAAACACTGTATAATATATGTGGTTGAAGTTGGTCGAATAAGTTGTGAATTACCCTGTAAATTGGGATTATCGTCTGTGTTTTTTGGAATTTTCAGGTTATTATTTCTCAAGTACTCAGAACTATGACATCAACTGGACAATGCCACAATGTATACTTGTCTTGCGTTTGATTGGTAAGTTGTTGATCTTATTAAGTGACGAAATTGTTATGATAATGATAACAATTTTGAATTTTCATATATTATCCTACATCATTTAAAATTTTATCTTGTACCTATCTGAAAGAGATAATCTGATAAATTGATTGTCAATATATTTGGATGCCTTGAATATGTACCTACTTGATTGCACATAAATAAATGAAACAATAATCATATGACTAATTAAAATTGTTGAACAATTTTCTTTCAATTTCTGTCGAAACTAAATTTTGTGATTTTCTAAAAATATATTTGTAATAATTTCGATGAATTCTTGATCCAATGAAACAGTTATATGGTTGCAAAAACATCAAATACCGGGTGATTCTCCAAGGTGGCTCACCCCTAAAAATGTTTTTTATTGAATGTACCAAAACGAAATTTGTGAATAATAGTTCAATTGTCATTTTTTGACATATTTACCTGCTTTGCCGGAAAATACCTCTGTAAATTATTTTATAATCGGTCAGGGATTATCATAACGAATTCAATGACACCAGATTTGATAGGGTTATTTCAAAATTTGCATTCCAAGTTTCCATAATATGCTCAATGGGTGTGACGGCGCGCAATAGCGAAATGTCTTTCTCTGTCATACTCATTGTGCATATGGAAACTTTGAATACGAATATCTTCGTAATCATTCGAAATAAATCCATCAACAACAAGGTGTCCCATTCAACAATCGATTGCTTGGCCAATTCCGGTCAAACTGGAAGTATGGCAAAGCAGATAAATGGGTCAAAAAAGTCAATTGAACTATGATTGGACGTAGTTATGCAAAATGCTAGTTTCAAGATATTGACTTTTACACGTTATGAATCATTACCTATTTAATCAGTAATATTATGCCTTATTGCTACTTTCTTATCGTCTCACATGTTGTGCAAAAACAGAATTCAATGAAAAAAAAACTCAGTTTCAATTTCCTCAAACAAAAATGGTTTAACAAGAAGTGCGATGGTTTCTTTTGTTATTTTTAATTGTCTGAGGATTTTGGTAAAAACCTGAAGAGTGATAGGATTCATCTTAATGGTATACCGAGAAACTATCAAACGGAGATATACAAAAAGGAACCATTCCACGTAAACCTCGTGGTTCTTTTTTTTTTTCAAGCAATATATCTTCAATCAGGATTTGATTACAATGTGGTATAAATACATACAATACTTTTACACATTTTCAACTTTCATAATCTATACATTGCATAGTCCCAATTCAAGAAAACCCCTAAGCAGTAGAAAATACTGGTAACGGGGATTATAACTAATAACATTCTGTCCTATATGTACAATGGAAATATAGTAATTCATAGAATTAATATTGATTTTTATACAGTAGAATTTTTCAGGTACTTTCTAATTTCCTTAACGAATAACTTTTCATTTGGTATTTCCTTAAATGCTTGTGGTATTGAATTATATACATGTATGCACCTATTCATAGGATTATTTAGTGCAACATTCGTTCGAATATTTGGATAGTATATGTTATTTTGATTTCTTACGTTATAGTTATGTATTTCATTGAGGTTCAAGAAATTTATATTTGTTTTTTGTTTGCGATTTACTATTTTGTATGTGTGTTTACATTGCTCTAAGTTTAGGATTTCATTTAGTTTGTTTAATTTTGTTGTTTCGTATACAGTATTCGTTGGTGTTAAGTAGTTGATAGAGAATAATATCTTAATAACCTTGTTTTGCAATCTTTGCATTTCTTGAAATGACGTTTTATCACATGTTCCCCATATTACGATCAGATACCTAAAGCAAAGAGGAGAGGGGAAAGAGTTTCCACTTGGAGTATTTATGAATGAAATAGTGAAACTTAGATGATGACCTTGAAATAACCCAAATGAATGAACTGGCACGATGGGTTACGCTCCGCTCATTGGTTGGAAGCAGGTTGAAGTATTGATTCAAAGAATATAGGTTAGTCACCAAGAAGCTTCACTTCAAATGCGCGGGAAAACTGACAAATGACCTTGAATTTTTACTACGATCAGATGTCAGCTGTATGTTTACTGTTTGTCAACTAATTTCTTCTCAGAGATTTGGCAAATTTTTCAACAGTGACAAAAGTGGATTTAATCTGCACAAAAGCGATTATTATTTTTATAGACTTGTGTTTTTCTGCTAAGTTTCAGTGGAATCATCATCATTTTTCGTTTCTTGTTATCATTTTACATAACCTCAAAATATTGTGGTATAGGTCGCGTGCAAGAACTGTCAGATGACCGACCCTGGAGGCAAAATAAATTACATAACCTCACTCTTCTTTTATGTTTATATCTGTCATAGATAAACTACATTGTTTTTTGGAAGGATTGGAAATAGTTTTCTCTCATTATTTTTGGATAACGAATCGTGGTTTCTGGTATATTTATTGATTCAAACATGCCGTCGTGTTGTGTCGTTGCACAATGTAGAAGAAATGCAGCGAGAGATGAAGGATTACGTTTTTTCAGGTAAATTGTCATCTAACAGTCCTGCTAACAGTGCTAACAGTGCTAACAGTACTGTAGTCTCACTCATATTCTCACAGTTTTCAGTTTAGAATTTTGTAATTTCTCTTTAGGATCCCTTCTGCGATAGGAGCCAATAAGAAGATCTGCGAAGTTTCTAAAAGAAGGCAAGAAGCTTGGATTTGTGCAATCAAACGGGAGAACTGGTCTGACACGCTGACGAAATATGGTCGTGTGTGTTGTAGACATTTTCACTCTGGTGAATTATGAAATAATATGATTTGATTCAATTTATTTTGTTTTCAGGTCACCAGTATTTTATTTTAAAGTAGAATGAACTTCCATCATTGTCTGACTCTCTCCAAGCTGTGATCTGTATATTGACTGATGCTATTTGAAACAGTGGATTTCTGTTCATATTTTCTTTTAGGATTCATTGGGAACCAAATACCTACAAATTATGGAATATTCAATTTTAATGATTGTTGCAGGTGAACCAGCTCCTTTACATGATGAAACTCATCCTGATTGGGTACCATCCATCAATATGGGACATGGAATTGATCAAAGTAATACTGATCCAATTTCTGATGTATATAAAAGTTTACAAAACAAAAACCAGGTACTAGACATGGATTTTTGGTATTCTATAGAAGATTGGTCAACAGCAGAGTGGATATTTTTTTTGCCTTTACTTTTTTTCAGACTGCATAGCATAGCTCATTCCACATGATTTTTTTGGTATTCTATTTTGGATTAGCCAACATCTGGGTGGATATTTTTTTGCCTTTATTTTTTTTTAGACTGCATAGCAAAGTTCAATTCATCCAGTTATTAATTCATTAGATTCATTACAGCATGATTTCCCAAGTACATCTGATCACAACAACATTGAAGAGGCTGATGAATGTGAGATGGAAGGTGAGGATTCAGGGTTTGCTCTTCTGAAAGCTCAAGCACAGATAAACAAGTTGACAGAAGAGCTGAACTGTCTCAAGTTAGATGAGAGTTACTTGAGGAAACATGATGATATAGTATTATACTATACTGGATTTCCTCAATTTGTGTATGTAGAGAATATTTTTAAAATTTGTGGACCATATCTAGTCAATAGTAAGTTATCAAAATTCCAACAACTACTGCTCACATTGATGAAGCTTCGACTCAACTTTCAATATTCAGACCTTGCACATAGATTTCAATGTCACAGAACCACCATTTCAAGAATCTTTGAGAATGTAATAAATATTTTATATGGTAAATTCAGGACATTGGTAAGTTGGCCATCTAGAGAGGATTTGCAGCTTCTAATGCCTCAATGTTTTAAAAATGTTTTCAGCAATAGGACCACAGTGATAATTGACTGCTTTGAGGTATTCATTCAGAAATCTTCAAATCCTGAAGCCTCAGCTAGGACTTGGTCTCACTACAAACATCACCATACCATAAAATTTTTGATTGGCATATCCCCTCAAGGAGTAATTATTTTCATTTCTAATGCTTATGGTGGTCGGGCCAGTGATAAATTTATTGTAGAAGATTCAGGATTTTTGGATAATCTCATCAGAGGAGACCTTGTCCTAGCTGATAGAGGTTTTACTATTGATGATGTTGTCAATGTCTATTGTGCAGAAGTTCAGTATCCTTCTTTTTTAAACAAGAGAAAGCAGTTGAACGCTGTAGATACTGAAACCACTAGAAAACTTGCCAGTGTTCGAATTCATGTGGAAAGGGTAATTGGACTCCTCAGGAGGAAATATAGAATTTTGTCGGAGGAGTTTCCAATACATTCTCTAAAAAAAGGAGATGAAAATTATGCACTGATTGACAAAATTGTGGTTGTTTGTTCAGCATTTGTCAATTTATGTCCAGGAGTAATTCCATTTGATTAGATCATACATTTCACAGTATATATTCTCTATTTTCAGATCAGAATAAACATTATTTTCAATTCAAATACTCTCTGCAACTGAATAAAACTACAAAGAACCCTTCATAATATGGTTATTAAAGGTATATATAAACATGTGGTGTACCACAAGGGACAGTTCTACATAATTCATAAACTATGAAATTGAATAGGTAGACTGAAGTTATTTGCAGATGATATAACATTAATATATTTACGTCCAGGATCCTAATGACATTATCTAAGATATTAAAAGTGATTTGAAAAAGTACCATCTTGGCTTAAAATTCATAAACTAGCTCTCAACTGCAGTAAATCTTCTTATATGTTTATATATATATATATAAAAAATGTGTATTAAAATACATTTTCATTCAATAACAGATTCATTGAAAATACTGATGTACATGATTTTCAGGTCTATATCTATGAAATATTAACCTGGACAAAACATTTATTGAGGAAAAATCGCAATCCTATCACTGGATATTTCATTCAATTGGAAATTTTACCTGTTAGATTCTTGAAGGGTATTTATATTTGTCTTGGAGTATAACCACCTATCTATGTGGGTAAATTCGAATATTACACGTTTGAGAC